GTGCCAGGCGAACGGAACATGGACAGGCCCAACTCCCACCTGTTGTTGTAAGTACGATTGAAAGCAGCATAATCATAATTATTAGAATCATGTAATAGTGGTAATTTCCTCAGGCACATACAAACCCCAGTAGTAACAAAGCTTTTCTGGGAGTGCCTGCATGTACGACAGCTGGGCTCAACCTGGCCAATACAGTAGATAATCGGTATTGTGGTTGAACGTGGTGTGCTCTTACATCAACCTTCAGGACCGTGCGAGTAAAAGACTTCAAAGCACACTGGACAAGCGTACCTGCTCGTGTAAGATAATACTTATTTTGATATGTTTAATACTTCCTGTGTGTATACAGTGAGATGCCGCGCTCAACTGCCCACAAGTTTCCTCGAAATGTCACAACAAGTGACACGAAGCGCTGGCGTGCCACATTGTGGTCAGACGGCTGCAGACATTATTCTTGTGGTTGATGAGTCGGAGAGCATGAAGCCACACTACAAAGACAGACTCCATCAGATCGTCACGAGGTTGGATATCAGCCTGGAGGAGCATGGAATCGGTCTCTACCCTGGCAAGCCTAATCAGTATACAGTAGTCGGGTTCGGCCATTCGGAAGGCAGCGTATCCGTAGGGGGAACTCACCAATACGTTCCACATGTCCTCTACAGCAACAATGGACGTCAGGTGTATGACATCAATGGTTTCCATGAGGCATGCGCCAAACTGCAGACCACAGGCTCTCTGGAGGATGGTTACCTGGCAATGAAATTCGCTCTGGAGGACATCACATCGGGAGGACGCCAATTACTCCGTCTGAGGCGTGAAGACGTCGCACCTGTTATCATCTTCATTTCGGATGAAGACAGAGATACCCATCAGCAAGGAGCAGGTATTTCGCGCAGCTCCATCAAGAGAATGATTCGCAAGAGAGGCGCCACCATGGAAGCCATTGTGGACAACAACGTCTGGTACAACAGCCAGCGAGGTTTTGGAATGGATTCCAGCGGCACAATGTACACTGCTGAGAGCACTACGCAGTACACAACATCAAACCCAAGGTTCTTCAAGCGCTACCTGGACTTGCACTACAGGACCACACGCCGTGACTACTCCTCCGTGGCCTTGGAAGTAGGCGGCGCTGCATGGGACTTGAACTCAATCCTGGACAGTGATGTGCTGTTCGATTCGCACGTCCAAGCGTTCGTCGACAAGACGGTGACCATAGTTGAGGACAAGGTGCACAAGTGCTGCTCTTGCCTATGCTCAATGGCAGGAACGGAGGACAGATGCCTGCGCTGTACGTATGCATCGCTAGTTGAGGAGTGTAACATTCCCTCTGTCGTTCGTGGATAACTGAAGTCTTCTATTCTCTCTCACGATGGCTTGTGGCCAACAAGAGGTAATGGAACACATATTGAATTCTGACACTGTGCCGCTGTACTTAGTTTACAGCGTCTTGTCGGTATTCAATATTTACGCATTTCGCCTCTTTCTAATGTAGCCTTCCCCTACCTCTTAGTCTTAGGACTGAAGTGAACATGCGTCATCGGATATTTCACTCTCTAGTATGCTCAGCTAGGCACTATTTTGCACACGATATTTGCGCCTCTCATCCTCTAATGTACTTCTCATGTACTTCCATTATACTTCACATTGCCCTAGTCAAAACTTATGCTCTTTGAATACTTTGATGATCATGACTGTATTAATTGTTATTGTGTGTATTTGTTGACAGCCTGTCGACCCATGCATTCTCGCTATGGGAGATGTAGATCCCAAATCAGCAATGCGGATATTTAGCCCTACGCCTGATACCAATCCTCTACTAGTATTCCAACCTACCCCAACTATGTCACATATTTGGACTCCAGTTGAAATTCTCTACGGCACGTTGCTGAAAGTAGGCCAGTAATTCTAATATTTGTCACCTGATCTTGCTGAACACATTTTGTCACAGAGAACCCTTCCGATCTGCTGCCTAGTGGGCCTATGCGGATAATGCCGGCAGAATAATTGGCAGAATTCGGTACTTTTTCTGGTAAATTTCATGCATGTTTGGTATGTGGATAAAGAAATGGAGCAGAATTCGAGGAATTGCCCGCCATAAGGTTTGTATGGTTCTGCCAATTTCACTGCTTTTCGAGCAGAATCCGAGTGCCACTTTTTCGAGCAATAGGGACCTTTCGCACCACACGTACGGACACGAAACGAATGCTGATTCGTCACCTGGGTTCGAGGATTCGTCAGAGTCGCCGCGGAGAGCTCGTTTTCACGAATGGAAGCCTCTTCATTCGTGGCACGCTCCGAATCCGTCAGGTACACATTTTTTGCAAGGTACACATGTTTTGCCAGGTACACATTTTTTCCCTTGATTCCATGATCTATGCACGTGTGCGCGAACACACCCGTACGCCAAGCTACCGGCCGTATTCGTAGTTGCCATGCACATTTGCATTACGACTTGCGAAACCTGAATTCTGTTTTCAACGAAACGATTACGAGCCGAATCAAACTTTCGTTCCGCATTCGATTCGTAGCAAATGCGAAAGGTACGCTTTCCAACGGCCAAAGAGAGTTGGAAAGCTTGTGTCTTTGTTTTACTTCGCCATTGCCGAGCCACCGTGCTCACAGCAGAGACTCCTGTGTGTGTTATTGTCGTGAAAGTGGACCACAAAGACGGTCCCTATTATCTGCACACCCCTACTGCCTAGTAATTGCTAACGTTAATACCGTACCGGTTTCCTAAACTCTTGCCACAGGAAATAATGATCAAAAATCCAATATGGTTCTTAGGCTAGTACCGAGTGCAAGCCTTGAAGGCCCACTTCGCGACGTGGCATTGATTGTTTTACAGTAGACAAAAGATATCATACTAAGTCCATATTCTTCGTGTTCCGTTGCATCCACAATATCTGCAGTTCACTCCTCTCTGACATGTCCTCCCTTCGCCGTGACTGCGCTCACACAGATAGAGTAACCCGCGGCCAAGTCAATTATTCCCTTTCCTTACCCATTGTGCAAGCTCAAGCTGGATACCGATCTATTTCATTCCTTGGTGCTGACCGCTTTAATGCGCTTCCCGAATCCCTTCGCACAAATCATATCCCCAATTCATTTCGCCAGGAGCTTTTAACAATTTCATTAATCTTGGGCACCCTGCAAGAAGACCTTAGGGTCTGTTGGGAATGACCAAGTAAAATAATAAAATACAATACAATACAAAAAAATACTGAGTACAAGTACAAGGTACATGCATACGTCGCGTCGTGGCATTGATTTGCCTGGACACCAGAGCAGAATTCTGGTGGATGAAAGTCATATCGCACCAGCCTTGTTTCGAAGTCTGAAGAGAATGTTGAACGATCTCTGCTGGCATGACAGCTGCACCAAAAAGCTCAGGATAATGACAATCTTGACCTGTTTGATTGAGAACCGCTTTATCACCACACAAAGAAGTTGAAAGAACCCCGTATAATTCCTCACCTCTAATTCCTCACCTCAGGTGAGGGATTGTAGGTCCTGCAAAACATTCCTCCGTTTGCAATAACTGTTAGTGTCATCATGCCACTGCCACGTCCTTTTATCTTGGCTCCGCTGGTATACTCTGAACGAACGAAGCAGCTGCCTGAAGTGCCTTCAAGTTCAATATGAATGTCTGAACGGAATTGTCCTGGCTATGCCGTGGTGGTATCGGTGGAGTACCAGCACGCTGCTGCGCAAATTATGCGGTGTGGTACAGTTCACTGCTACTACTAGTACCAGGCCAGTAGTATGTCTCCTAAGTCCATTGTTCTTACCGGTAATTATTATTCTATCGTACACTGAGCTTTGCCTACAGTATCGATGGGTGTTATACATGGCACCATCGAAGTTTCCTGGCACTACCATACCTGCAAGCTGTGCATTTCTCACTTGCAGTTTCTCTCAATGAAAATGCGGTGAGTTGTTCGTACACTGAGAAACATGCAGCAACATTGAATCGTCTTCGAACCGTCGATTCTAAAGTCCTATCAGATAGTCTTTAGCTTTTGTGCCTTTCATTCTATTTGGTACGTTTTGTGCGTTTTCATGTCGTATTTATGGCGCCTAGCGGACAATAATAATACGGACCATAAGAAGATGAATGTAGCAACGAGGACGACTAATTTCACTGTAAGCATTTCATTTCCTAAATGTCGACATGTACATGTACGTTTATGTCAACATTCTGACGTGAACATGATCCCTGGCTGGTGCGGTGATCCCTTTGAAGTGTCATGGCTCCTCTGGTGTGAGCACGTGAAACATGTCTTGAACCAAAGATCCGTTCTCTAGACCTCTGTCTCTGACCACCTACCCTCGCCTACACCAGACCAAACCATTCATCATTACGACATTAGGCTGTTGTTTACCCGGTACGTATACCATGCATGGTAGACAAGCCATAGGCAGGGTACACAATGGGGAGGGGGGGGGGGGGAGTACAGTGCCGAGTATTGTAGTCTGTAGTGTAGTAGCCCGATTAAACTTGCCAGGGCAGGCAATAATTATTATTACTAAAAATGTTCTTGGGGCTTCAGGGCACAACCACACGGTCGGATACAGTGGAATGTCCTGACTTGAACTTGAAGCAGGGCTAGTGCAGCCGTAACAATGTTCTAAGCGGTTCTAGTAATTATTATTATTATTATACGCATTCCCGCGGCAGCGTCAACCAAGCAGTTATGCTTGATCCACACGTTCGCTTATGCTGGACATTGAAACAAAGCAGATGTAGACAGCTCCTAGAGAATGGGGCTCTACAAAACCAATGATCGAAGTTAGTCCTTCAGTAACATGGAGCGTCATAAAATTGGTCTCATTGGAAAAATGTCATCAATATTGTCTCCTCATGTAGCATCATGGTCAATGGGTGGCCAGATAATTATACGTATGAGGTTGAGTTGCCAGATAATTATTAAAAGATTCAAATAGTAATATTATTATAGAATGGTTGTTATGAGTTTATAAGGGTGCCATGGCTGTTTCTACTTGTGACGAGGGTGTGCACAAACACTCTTCACCAGCGCGTTCCATGCTGGACGGTCCACAGCAATCCGCTCCAGACGGCGCAAGTCCTCAACACTCCGCAGGTGCCCATTGTTCGACTGGGACAGATCGGTGTGGAGCTTTATTGGTAGTGTCACCCTCGGCCTCCCACGGTACCTCCCCTCGGGTGCCTGAAAGTATTGCTCCATGCTCAATCGTGCTGGCGTGTCCTTACCCAGGCGAAGCACATGTCCGAATAAACTCCAGCGTGAATTTCGGATCAAGTCCGACACCGGCTCCACTCCACATCGGGCATACAACGCCAAATTACTAATCTTTTGTGGCCATGTGATGCCGAGAAGTGACCTGAGTTGCCTTCTATGGAAAGCGTCCAGGGAGCGTTCGCTAGCAACCGTCAGGCCCCAGGTGCCTGAATTATAGAGAAGTATCGGCATGATAAAGGCGCAGTACAACCTCATACGCAGAGGCTCTCGGATCAGTCCTCGGCGCTTCCAAAGAGACCACATGGATCGGAAGGCAGCCTCGGCCAATTGCCTGCGACGTGTCACATCCTCAATGTCGCCCAGGAGTGAGCCCAGCTTTCGGGATGTCCTCCAGCGCTCGTCAATTCTGTCTACAGATCGACCCAGCTCTGTCCACTCAGTTTTGGTGTTGTTGACTCTCAGGGCCCACTGCCCGAGAGTGTGGTCTATGACCGGTTCGAGCTCTGTGAGCCATTGACGACTAAGGCTTATGAAATCAGTGTCATCTGCGTAGACAAGCTCAAATGGAATGTTGATGCTTTGATCCATTGGCGGTCTGTTTCGTGCCACCTGGGTGCTCCTCAGATCTCTCAGTGCTGCCTCTAAGTATATAACAAACAACACCGGGGAGAGAGAATCACCCTGCGGGGTGCCAATTGTAGTTTCAAGGGACTCTGATACTGCCCTGCCGATGCGTACCTGCAGAGTTGTGTTGGTCAACAGCACTCTAACCAGCCGAACATCATCCTCCGTCAGGAAAGACTCGAGAACTGTCAACAGTTTGTCACGATGTATACAGTCGAATGCTCTGGACATGTCGATTCCAAGAATGGTCATTTCCCGCCGATAATGCTGACATGTTGCTGCAAACCATCTGTGGCTCCAAACAAGGTCCGCTGTAGATCGGCCTGCTCTGAAACCACTCTGCGTCGGAGACAAGTACTCACCGACTTTCGACGATATTCTTCGCAATGTAATAATGGAGAGCGTTTTGCGTAATGATGTAAGGAGGACAATAGGGCGCAGATTTCCAGGTGGTCCAACCGTCTTTCCTGGTTTCTGCAACGGTACCAGTGTGCCACATCCCAGGTCAAGGTGCTGGTGAGTTGTAAACATGCTGTTGAACAGACAGGCAATGTGAGGTGCTAGGTTTTCTCTTCCATATTTCAAGAGTTCGCCTGGGACTCCATCTGGGCCAGGGGACCTTCCATTATTCAGTTTTTTCAGTGCGTTGGAGACCTCAGCAGATGAGATTTGTCTTTGGAGGCTTCTTGGGCGACCGGTGAATGGCTCGACGCCTGCATCCACATTCCCACGAAACTGGTCATGGAAGTGGCTCCGGACCGCAGATGCCGCCTCCTGGTCATCGGCTATGAAGCGACCCTTCTGGTCATGTACAATGGGCTTTCGGCTTGGCTTTCTGGTCATCAGCTGGACTGCTTTGAACATCCGTGCTCCATTCTTCAACCTCTCGACTTCCGCTGCTCTCTCTTGCATAATTTTCTCTGCATTGTCTCGGCATTTTGTTCTTATAGCGTGAAGGATTCTGTTTCGTTTCGTCTTGAGAGATGCTTTGGTGTCAGGGTTGTTAGTGCTACCAATGCTGATCCGCAGTGATCTCTGTTCCAGGGACAGCAGCTCAATTTCATGATCTGGTGCTTTGCGACGAGTTTTCTGCTGGACTGTGCCAAGGACATCACCTGCTGCACTCCTGACCACTTCCATAAGCCTCCGGGATCTTTCCTGCAGGCCGGTATTGCCTTGGACCTGATCGGCAGCTAGCAGCTCACTGGCCAACTTCTCAGCATATTCCTCTTGGACTTGTCCTTCGGCTAGTTTGAATGTGTTGAACTTAGGCGCCTGCAGATCATCTTTCTTCCTCTGTCCAAATATTCCATATAGCCTCTGGAGGTCCAACCGCGCAACAACGAGCCTGTGGTCAGACGAGAGGGTGCATCCACCATAGCTACGACTGTCAAGGAGAAGCCGCCTCTGGGTAGATTTACACAGCACGTAATCTATTTGGTTATACACAGGAACAGTAGCTCCACTGGCTCCATTCCTGCGATGTCCTGTCCAAGTAGTCACATGCCGTGCATTATGCTGAAAGGCAGTGTTACAGATGAACAAGTCACTAGCATGGCAAAAGTCTATCAGGCTTTGGCCACTCAGGTTCCTTTTCCCTCTACCATGCCTCCCACAACATGTTCTAGTAATGTTACTTGCTAATTCAGCCATTGAAGAGAACATAATAATTATACTCCGATAAGTCCTATCCCATTGGCCGTTCTCAAGGGTGATACACGACTGGTGTCATCGCAGTGTACGTGCACGATCATATGCGCTGCGATAGAGGTGTTGAAATGTTTTCCAGTGGGATGGGATGGCATCGTCTCAGCCTTGAAGACGATCCCACGTCTGATGGAACAATTTCATGGAGGCTTTGGAACGGCCTGCGACTTGTTTGTTCTGAATTATACTAGTACTAGTAGGCGCCAAAGGCCCACGATGCCACATGGCTGTGCGCGCCGCTGGTCAATGCTGGTCTTGGAGTATGATTATGAACACAATGGCACTACTTGATGGTCTAGACACTACATGGCAGCTGCAGCCTACCCGTACTGCGAAGTACCTTGGCATCTCTAGCTCTGTCATCCAATGTCAATTGTGTGTCATTTAGGACAGGGAGGGGCTAAATTAAAGCCCTGGATGAGTGACACACAGAGACTACATACATTGTGCGTTGGACTTCCAAAGGAGCAGTTCTGTTATAATAATTATAGTCAAAGGTGGAGGGGACCTTGTCCAAAGTTACTGAGTATGTGTATGAATGCGTGGACATCTCGTACAATGATGAACACAGCCTTCATGGTCAGTGTCAGTATTACACTGCAGGCGACCATTCTCGACGACCATTCCCGGCGGTTTGAAATTGTGATCACAGGAGACTATGGGCACACTAAGTTTCAGTTTCTTCACGTGTTGATGGTAGAATGAGACATCCTGTGCTGTAATGCTGTTCCTTTGACCCTGATATAAACGTAGCCGAAAACACATTAGCCTGTTGTGAGCTAGGATATCAAGCCTGACTCTATTGACACTGCAAAATCGCTCTGTTGACGCTACAAAATTGCTTATCATCTCCCTCCCTCCCTCCCCCCCCCCTCTCTCTCTCTCTCTCTCTCTCTCTCTCTCTCTCTTTCTCTCTCTCTCTCTCCCCGTAGCTCTCTCCCTTTTGAAATTCGCTTCCATAGAATTGGGCACCATTGCCCGTTTGGCCTTGCGAAGCAAAATAAAAATCAACAACAACAACAACTTTGACGACCACTGTACCGTATGCGAGCGCGGATTTAAAAAAAACATATTTGAGGATCTCCCAAATGCTATAGCTGATCGGGGGCTAGACGGAATGGCCAGCTGGACATACCTGAAGCTCACGGAATCTACAATATATTAGTAATCTGGGTCCTGGTCCGAGTCCTTTGTGGTGATGACAGTCAAGTTTTTCTTCCGACTTGTCCCGCTTTCAGCTCCCTCCAACTTAGGAAATAGCTAAGTACATAGATACAAGTGTTATGAAGCTGCGTGACGCGTCCTACTGCTAGTACTGGATTTTACATGAATACGTAACACATACATGATAATACATAATGCATGAGGGTCTGTGCATTGTGATATTCCGACAGATCCTGAAACAGTCAAACTCAGGAAATAGCACTATTATTATCACTCAGGCTGCAATATTCATAATAAGACATATTCATAAATGACATACAATGTACATGTATCTTCAATACCCATGAGCTACATTGTATATAATTATTATCTTTTTTTCCATTGCCCTTTTTCTTCTTACATGTATTTTTCCTTACCCTTAGGTTGTTTCTTGCATCGTCTCCATCGCTTATATTGTTAATAAAGTAGTCCACATGTCGCTTCAGCTCGTCCTACTTATTGCCATATTAAAATTATTGTCTCCTCGTCGAATTTTTATATAATTATCATAATTATAATCGTTCTAGCTCAATTTTTTCCCCTGTCATAGTCCTGTTTATCATGTTCAGCATAAGCGAAGTTGTGAATCATGCTTGTATGGCTGACTCCAACGCGTACATGCAAGTAATAATAATAAATAATAACATAACACAAAAAGCCATCATATCCGTCACGATCGGCGTCCCTACTGGAATGGGTGGTAACGTTAAAACCAAGGCCAGCTGTCACCTTCTGAGCTACCGCCTATACTGTATAATGCGCGAGTTGTCATTATGTATCCAAATGCTGTTTCCCACTTGCAGTAACTGTCTCGTGTCATCACACTGTCTTGGCGAATACATTGTACTTGGAAGTACGTGTCCTCCTGATGGCTTGCGAAGATGTACCTTTGCAACGGTATATTGGCGGCTGCGGCATGAACATCACAAACTAACCGCAGAGCTACTAACATTCCACCTGTGCCCTTGCACCACGTATGCATGCACATGTACTCCAATGCAATGGCTACAATTGGTTTCAATGTAGAACTACTAGTGCATTGTAAATATTTAGATGAGCGGTAATTCTACTTCGACCTACGAGTAGTCTCCCTTGAATACCAAAGCTGTTCTCGAAAGGCAGTGGCGCCTACATGTACATGAACATGTATGTGTTTTCTTGGCCTTGTTGGGGGTTAATCATTATGAATAGAACACGATAATGGAATTGGCGGATGTGTAATACAAAGGCCATGCATGCTACAGGAATGACCAACATCGCGTGTCCTTGTCAAAACGTCGCCACCCATCCACCTCCAACGCCCTACATGGCGCACAGGCAAAGTATGTCCACTCGCACCTATAAAAGGCGAACAAGAGAGCTACGGTTTTTCAGTTTCGCTTGTTCCAGCACTTCGCTGAGTTTCCGAAAAAAGTCTTTAAAAAGAGGTGAGTTTATTGTAGTTCGGGATAGGTCATATCACGGTCGAAACCTTGCTCGTCAACCAGGCCAGAGTCAAGGTTATCTCAAGCCTTCTCTGGCTCTCCCATCGTGTTTCTTCTCAGAGTCGCCCACAATTCTTACTCCCAGCCTCGTTTCCCGAGTCAAGACCAGGCCTAGTCATCAGCTAGGTTTCGTTCCAGCTAAGGTACAGGTACATTATAATTATCATGTTTGCTTTGTACAGTGTGTTGTAGCTGATGTGACTGCTCCAAAACCACAAGTATAATATTCTATTCCGTACGTTGGGGTGTGTGCCATTGTGCTATCGTGAATACACCTAAATTCACTGACTGGTGAAGCTAAACGCACAATGCCCTGACACAACAATGTAGGAATGCTTTCCAGAACACTTTAAAAAGTGGTGATGCGACTGGTTTGCCTATAGATGGTGATGACCATAGAAAATTCATCTTGTTCTTATCGCCAGTGTCAGCATTCGTACTGGAGTCTAGCACGTCCAACGATGAGAAGACTAGACATTTGCTATAAGGGTAGTGAGATCATTACCAGCTTCGGTTGCTTAATTTAATTAAGGAAACCAAATTCTTCCTCATGTCCTCACTGCGTACACGACTTTTAAATTCAGCTTTTTCTGAAGAGCTTTACTGCTGTAAATGTACTCTGCTCTCCAGGCACAAGCAACTGCAGCTGCTGAACAATGAGAATGTCGCCAAACGTCTGCAATGTCGTGTGTGGACTACTGCTGCTAGTTTCCAGTATAGCCGTGCTTCAGGTTACAGGCCAGAGCACAACTGCTCCTCCAGATGTTGTCCGTAAGTGATTGCATCCACTGTACGCGATGTGCCATGTCACTTTCCCTTCATCACCAATATCACCTACCAATAATTATTGTGATTATCCTACGCTCCATTCCCTAGAACTTCCAATATGTCTGTTTTGCGTGAGGCGTCCCTCAGGATTTTGAAATGTCTTTTTTGTAGCAACATTCAACGTTTCAGAAGCCACGAACCTCTTTTGAGAGCAAAATAAAACAAAATAGATGTAATCCAAGACTCGTTGGACTGCAGCGTTCATATCTCTGTTATCAGTAACTACCTTTGCATTCAAGGAGACCTGCCCACTTTAGTAATTCTGTGTTGGTTATTTCCCATACTACAACTGACTCCTGAAATCTTCTGAGACTACATGTGTTCCACGTACTTTTGTTGTTGATGTTGTTACTGCTGCTCTCAAAATGTTTGTGCTCTCAGAGGCTCAACAGGTGCAAACTGGCTGTCCAAACATCACCATTGCCAATGGTCGCGCACAGCTCACAACATTCACCGATCTGGGAGTGACAATAGCTTCGGTACGTGCCAGACAGACGTGCATGACCAAAAATTGTCACTTTTTACGTGCAGACCGAAAAACACAGTTGTCTAGTCCTGACCACGAGGTGTATTGAAGGTATAGTGTAAAGCCATGAAGCCCACTTATCCATGCAATACTCTCTTCTCTCCCTTCACTGTTGTCCCCGTTGTTTAGTCCTGACCGCGAGATGCATTGAAGGTATAATGCAAGGCTCTGAAGGCCATTTAACCTTGCAACACTCTCTCCCTTCACTGTTGTTCCTGCTTCACGACTTTACTGTTTTCCCCTTCTTTACTGTACTCTAGCTGAGGTTTATATGCAATCCTCCGTACGTTCGAAATGGCATTCGCGAAGCAAATTGTGCTTCTTCCGCTACGGGAATCCAGTCTCTGGTCGATGGTGTCACTCCTCCCACGTGTGATGGTGAGTCACTGGTGAGATCGCTGCAGTTACTAACTGTGCTTCAAGTCAGTGTAGATTCCACTGAATGGGGCTTGATTGTTGCGGGAGGTTCTTGACGGTCTGATTTTGGTCGTGCTTTGCATCTTGTCATGTTGATAATTATCATGGATGACCGCATCATCGTTGTGTGTGATTGTCAAGTTGTGCTTACATGTAGTATCTTAGGTTCACCTTCTCGTTCTTTTAAAGCGTCCAGAAGCTGCAGTTACTTATACCTGCAAATAGAAGAACTCCAAATCCTTGTTTATTGTAGTGTATACAATGAGACATGCATAGCATAACTTTTCCTTCACTCCGTTATACAGTAGTCTATTTTTGTGTTTGAGCAGGACTGCAGGAGACTTTCCAAAAGGGGAAAAAACTGCAGAATGATGATTTACTGCTACATGTACATGTCTTTTCTGTTAACACTCGCATGAACACGTACTGTACCATGAAATCATCATTATACTATGCAGAACATGTACAGAACGGTGGACAAAGTCAATATCGCTTTGACTCCAATCCAAGTTCAATCCAGGTCCTGCATTCACCAGACAGTACAGGGAATGATAGTTTGCATGATAATTAGCATGCTGGATGCATGCTGGATACATGCTGGATGCATGCTGGATGCATTCTGGATGCATGCTGGATGCATGCTGGATGCATGCTGGATGCATTCTGGGACGCAACATTCCCAAATTGTTCTTTCTCGTTCTCTGCAGCTCCTCCCTGTAGCTTGCCGCCACCTATCGAGAATGGCCGACGAGAATACAATGGAACATCATACTTGGACAAGGTATGCATGACAATACAATGGTGAAACCTTCTTCAGTAGACTACAGTCCACAGTCTACGTACATGTACATGTAGGTCATACACATACACATACGTGATTGGGATTCACGAATTGCTCAAACTGATGGAGTTCTTAAAAGTACAAAGACGTGTTGTTCATCGTTCAATGTGATTTCTCATAGAAAGTCTGAGTGCATGGGTGTCGCGGTACTGGAAGTAATGACGAATCACATTGTGATTCGGCCAGTTACAACAGTCCCCCCCCCCCCCTACACACACACACACACACACACACACACACACACACACACACACACACACACACTCACCCAAGCCCAGTAAAGGTACATATCTATACTATCTTTATTTAGGACTGTTGGAGAGGAGCATTATAATTATTATGTTTTTTTAGAATACGTACCCGTTAACTCTTTTTTCGTAAGTTGAGGGAATGGAAAAGGGCCAAGTCTGAAGAAAAATTGACTGTCACCACTGGGAATCGAACCAGGGACCTTCACTTGAGGCCAACGTTTTACTTTTCTGCTTGATCTATCTGCTACTTTCAGGCAATCTACAAATGTGACCCAGGCTACTCGCGTCGAGGCAGTGAGCAGCTGGAGTGCCAGGCGAACGGAACATGGACTGGCCCACCTCCTAGCTGTTGTGGTACGTAGAACGCTACAATCCGCATGGTTATGGGGATGAAACCGGTTCATGACCACAGCACCAAAGTGCAGAATTCCAATTTAGTTTTTCAACCTGGAAAGTAACCAACCTACCTGTACACTTCAGTGACTTCACCCTGCCATTTGGCGATTCAGGACAATGAAATGGAGTCTTGTACTTGTGGGTTTGTATCCAGTTTCAAGTGTGGGTTTTTTTTAAATTAATTTTTAGTAACATGGCAAAGTGCACCTCTCAGTCCTTCGGCGATGAACCACAGTACTGTCGCTGTCTCAAGTTCAACAGCCACACAGTGCACACCAGCATCTCTGTGTACCGGTGTATGGGACTCAGAGATCATGACCTGTGTGTGTAACATAGTTTGATCTGTGATTTATTGTCTGCACACAGTGACGTGCCGGGCTCAGTTGCCAACAAATTTCCTCCAGTATTCTCATCAAGTAACGCAAATTGCCGGCGTCCCACATTGCGGCCAGACGGCTGCGGACATTATCCTAGTGGTTGATGAGTCCGAGAGCATGAAGCCCCACTACAAGGACAGAATCCACCAGCTCATCGCAAGCTTGACTGTCAGCCTAGAAGAGCATGGGATTGGCCTTTATCCAGGCAAGCCCAACCAGTACACGGTAGTCGGGTTTGGCCATTCAAGAGGAAAGACGGGGGTGACTGATCATGCTACTGCTCCGCACGTCATCCACAGCAACAACGGACGTCAGGTGTACGACTTTGATGGTTTCCAGGAGGCATGCTCTAAACTGCAGACTACTGGTTCTCTGGAGGATGGCTATCTGGCAATGAAATACGCACTGGAGAACATCACCTCAGAAGGACGTCAATTACTCCGATTGGAGCGTCAAGACGTTGCGCCAATCATTATCTTCATTTCTGATGAAGACAGGGATGCCCACCAACGTGGGGCAAGCATTTCACGCAGCACCATTAAGAGAATGATTCGCAAGAGTGGAGCCACCATGGAGGCCATTGTGGACAACAGCATCTGGTACAACAACCAGCGAGGTTTTGGAATGGATTCCAGCGGCACGCTCTACGTCGCTGAGAGCACTACACAGTACACAACATCAAACCCAAGATTCTACAAACGTTACCTGGACTTGCACTACAGGACCACGCGCCGTGACTACACAACCGTTGCCCTGGAAGTCGGTGGCGCTGCATGGGACTTGAACTCGATCATGGATAGTGACGCAATGTTCGATTCGCATGTCTACGCATTCGTTGAGAAGACGGTGACCCTTGTTGCGGACAAGGTGCACAAGTGTTGCTCGTGCCAATGCTCGCAAGGACCGGAGGATAGCTGTTTGCTCTGCACATATGCATCGTTTGTTCAGGAGTGCAACCTTCCTCAATCCTGAATGGCTTTTTCCGGCTGATAGACTGCTTTGTTCTGATATACCGGTAGATGTTTGCTTGGCTTCAATATCATGTTGCCCAGTGCATGGCAGTCTATATCAGTATGCACAGCCATGCGGTCCAACACTTCACACAATATCTTCACATTTGCCTGCAATGCCATGCCGATAATGGCGCTATCGTTCTGCTTTGCACTGCTCCGCATTACATGTTGTACTGACCCTGCCATTTCTGGGTACAGTTACATTTACATTTTCATTCACAGATACTGAGACATTTACTGTTGCAACCTATTGGCATTTTGTACCCGCCATTAGAATTCTGCATTTCCCGGTTGTGGAGTTCTTCGTTTTCGTTTTACAACTCATCCACCTGAAAATGTTTGCAAACTCTTGCTTGCAAAAAGCCTGCGTGCACAAAGTGTTCTGGACAACGATGGGCGCGGCAAATCGACAATAGAGAGGTTTTAAAGATGCACGTTAGTTCTGACGTGACGCGAAAGTTCAGCTCGCGTTACTTGGCTCGATCGTGCATCGAAAACAACGCGAGTGAGGCTGCAGCTCACGTTGAAGTTTGGAGTTTTACGCCAAATTTGACGTGAAATCGCTCGTCACGTCGGAAAGAATGTGCGTCTTAACGGCAATAACCTAGGGTATCTGATCCCCAGAGTCCAATGCGTGTATTATTGCACCCATCACAAGCTGGGTGCATTGCTATACCCCCCCCCCCCCCCACACACACACCGCCTTTTTAGGCTTTGAACAGCTTGTGTTCAGCACTAGCAATGCATCATGCATTATGTCATAGGTTGCACCCAAAACACCCTGCATAACTGGCAGCCTTGACAGGTTGACACTGAGGTTGTGCACGTGTACGTGGTGTACCTGCACTGGTCATTGCGAGACAGAAGATTCTGCTCTGTAACAATTTCAGGCGACAGGTGGTGCCAATCAGTGTAGCTGTTATACTTTCGGATGGCCTTTTAGTTAATTCCAAACTTATGCCTCCTGTCCGTCCGGTCATCACTCATCAGTATCATCAACTTATGGTAAGTGCCATCTGTGTTGTTATGATCATGCGTTCAGGGAGCCGAACAATAATTTAAGAGGGGATGTGAAAAGTCAGGCTATTATATCTCCGCTGCCTGTCGTTCCCACTCTCAACTAGTCCATCGCTAGTATACTTTGCAGGGAACTGCTTTGAAAGCAATAGCTAGGTGTATTGGTTACCATGGGTCCTAGTATGCTTGAGAGCTGAGAAAATACGGCAGCAGACGTGCTTCAGCATAAAAGAAATAATTGAATAGACCATAGCCTAACATAGGAATGGGTTTGCTCCCACACACACATAGCCTAACATACTGTCCAGTGGACATTGAGCACTGTAAGCAGCCAAGGGACTTTAGACAACTGTCTAGCCTAACATACCTAAGATAACAAAATTAACCATGACCATAATTATCATTGCGGCTGTAAACACCAGTTACCCTCCATGATCAGATATCAATCTCAAGTTGAAAACGAGAAGTTATGCCATGGCCTAACAGCGTGTAATCAAGCACTGCCGCAGATTACTGACCACTGCAGATTTACGACCAGTGAGGCAAATCGAAAATTATACCATGTTACCAAATTCGAAAGGTAATATCACGGCGATGAAGATCTATCATGTGTACTAGGATGAGCACTAGTTGAAATTGTTTGTTGAACAGTAACATTGACGTCCGGGGGAAAAACTATTAAAATTCCTATTTCACTGATCACTATTCATTTCTAGCGCTGAAAGATCCAATTGAAATTATGATTCTGCTTGAATTCTAGGCATTCACCACTGGTCCGAAGTCACTGTTCCTGTTCCTCGCGCAGCCGATGCCATTGCAACAGACGTATGCCGTACAAATTAAACATCTGCTCCCCGAGCAATTCCTGGAGTTGAATCTGCAAAAAAAGTATGTAGAATACTATGTCAAACTATGATCCAGCGGCATATTGTATGGCATAAATAAGTGGCAAAAGGGTCCCCTTTTATTTACAACACATCATCTCTCAGCATAAGCCAATGAAAGTATTATCTCCTCTTCTTCTTGTCACCATCCTAGCCCCATGCACATAGCATTGCCGACCAGCCAAAACAATACCTATCAAATGCTTTACTTTTTCCTCATGCGCACGGTGTATGTGTGTGTGTGTATGTGTGTGTGTGTGTGTGTGTGTGTGTGTGTGTGTGTGTGTGTGTGTGTGTGTGTGTGTGTGCATGTGTGTGTGTGTGTGTGTGTATTATGATGGATGTGAGAGTGTGCGTGCCTGCACCCACTCACACACGCATACACACACACATGTGCGTGTACACGCACGCACGTACGCATGGACACACACAAACACATATGTGCACGTGCACACACACACACACACACACACACACACACACACACACACACACACATGCACACACACACACACACACACACACACAAACACACACACAAACACATGTGTGCACATGCACAAATGGACGCACGCACCCACATACTCACACCCGAAGCACTGAGAGCTTCGTCGAGTACAGACATGTGGCCAGCATGATCTTGCAGCAACCGAGCTGTGGCGGTTTTCAATCTTTGGGAAAAAGCATACCGCCGTGTGCTTTCTCAGGAATCAATTGAGGAGTACTCTTGCAGGTGATTATTAAACAACCCATTGACAGGATGGAAGCAGTAGGCCCTTACCATTACATCCTCTTCATTTCCAGCTTGGCCTTGTAGTAAGAAATGAGCTTCTTGGACCATGCCCTTGCCCAGACCTTCCGTACATGTCCTAGAGACAGAAGAGACGACAGCAAAGTCTACCAGTGTTCAGCTATCCCGGAAAAAAACATTTCTGGACTAACGGTTCGTGTGAAGACCTGCGAATAGGCAGTCGCTTATCCCTTCAACGATGCAAACAATTCAGCAGAAATCTATCAAGAGATGCCAAAACGCATACCCGTAGTGACGCGCAATGAAGCGCATGTGCCTACATGTATATCCGAGCATAAGCGCACCCTCACATATTATGTGCATGGACTTACTGGTGAACCGAATCCCGCAACACACTGACGCATGGACTTACTAGTGAACCGAATCCCGCAACACACTGACACCACCATGATACTGTCACAGGACTTGATGTGCAATTTCCAAATTCCATACTGGTTACTCAATTACAAGCGCATGCGCCTATATGTGAGACCAATCAACCTTCAAACAATTTCAAATAATTATGCCAAAAACTCGCTTATAAGCGCATGGGCTTAAATGTGGATCGCTATGGTATGGCAGTCTGCTTAGTGGGCTTTGTGCATGTTTGTCAGTGACTGCCACTTGGGTTTATAAAATCAGTTTCACAGCAGCAAATACCAACCACAGTACATTCGTCTTAAGCTACTGGCACATTGGTATTCCAATGCTGTCTCCTCTAACTAAGAGTGTGACCGGACATGTAATCTAGATATTTTTCACAAACCCATACACACTTATGCGCGCACGTATGCACACGCACACATACATACACACACGCGCGCGCGCACACACACACACACACACACACACACACACATATATATATATACACACACACACACATAAGTTACACGCAACCGCGCAACTGTGAATGGCTTACCTGGCCAGCGAGGCCAGACGCAGTTTAGAAAAGTGACTCTGCTCGGATGAAATCAAAGCTGAAGAACTTTGCCCAGATGCCAAATCTGCAATGTAGTGAAGTACACACAACATCAGGACACTTACACTTAGCGCAGTGTCTACTGCACTCTCCAGTGCCTAAATATGCTATACGTAGATTTAATCATTCATGCACAGACAAGAGAAGCAATTTGAGGGAGCAGAGCAGTGTCTCTAGATGAAACTCTACCCATTGTAATTTGTAGGTGTGCATTAGGTGTGCATTAGGTGTGCATTAGGTGTGCATTAGGTGTGCATTAGGTGTGCATTAGGTGTGCATGGAAACACACTATAATCTGCTGGGACGGCACCTACACCATGTACACCATAACACATTCTAATCTACTGGGATGGCATCTACACCATAACACATTCTAATCTACTGGGATGGCATCTACACCATGTACACCATAACACATTCTAATCTGCTGGGATGGCACCTACACCTGGGATGGCACCTACACCTGGGACGGCACCTACACCTGGGATGGCACCTACACCTGGGATGGCACCTACACCTGGGATGGCACCTACACCTGGGATGGCACCTACACCTGGGATGGCACCTACACCTGGGATGGCACCTACACCTGGGATGGCACCTACACCTAGGATGGCACCTACACCTGGGACGGCACCTACACCTGGGATGGCACCTACACCTGGGATGGCACCTACACCTAGGATGGCACCTACACCTGGGACGGCACCTACACCTGGGACGGCACCTACACCTGGGACGGCACCTACACCTGGGATGGCACCTACACCTGGGACGGCACCTACACCTGGGACGGCACCTACACCTGGGACGGCACCTACACCTGGGATGGCACCTACACCTGGGACGGCACCTACACCTGGGATGGCACCTACACCTGGGATGGCACCTACACCTGGGATGGCACCTACACCTGGGATGGCACCAACACCTGGGACGGCACCAACACCTGGGACGGCACCTACACCTGGGACGGCACCTACACCTGGGACGGCACCTACACCTGGGATGGCACCTACACCTGGGACGGCACCTACACCTGGGACGGCACCTACACCTGGGACGGCACCTACACCTGGGATGGCACCTACACCTGGGATGGCACCTACACCTGGGATGGCACCTACACCTGGGATGGCACCTACACCTGGGATGGGACCTACACCTGGGATGGCACCTACACCTGGGATGGCACCTACACCTGGGATGGCACCTACACCTGGAATGGCACCTACACCTGGGATGGCACCTACACCTGGGACGGCACCTACACCTGGGACGGCACCTACAATTGGGACGGCACCTACAATTGGGACGGCACCTACACCTGGGACGGCACCTACACCTGGGACGGCACCTACACCTGGGACGGCACCTACACCTGGGACGGCACCTACACCTGGGACGGCACCTACACCTGGGACGGCACCTACACCTGGGACGGCACCTACACCTGGGACGGCACCTACACCTGGGACGGCACCTACACCTGGGACGGCACCTACACCTGGGACGGCACCTACACCTGGGACGGCACCTACACCTAGGATGGCACCTACACCTGGGATGGCACCTACACCTGGGATGGCACCTACACCTGGGATGGCACCTACACCTGGGATGGCAGCTACACCTGGGATGGCACCTACACCATAGCTCAGTGACTAGAGCATCTTTGGCCGCCGAAAAAAATAGAAGACAAATTACAAAAAGGCGAAGGTTTGAGTCCTGGTGGTGAGAGTCAATATTTCTATAGACTTGTTTTCCCTTTTTGACAACCGTACCTAATGAACATTCTAATCACAAGGCAAACAATTGTGCTGGGTCCTTCTCTCCAGTAAAATCCCACTCTGAGAACCGTCCCACCTTATCAGGACATCTCACCTGCTCTGGTATGACTGTGCCTGGCTGGCTTGTTAGATGACACGTCCAGTTCTTCGTAGAAGTCATCGCCACTCGTCAACTCGCTGTCCTCACTGGTATCGCGTTCGCTGCTACCGGCATCGGGAAACCATCTTGCGTGCGTCTTACCGTTCGCAGGACGATTGCCTGGCGTTTGGCCGGCATCCAGTTCAAGTGTTGTGTCCAGGATGGTCTGAAGTTGAAGCACTTCACTATCACTGATTTGTGGCAATAATGCACAGAAATAAATAGAGAGAATGTGTTGTCTTTCATGTCATCTGCGATATCACATGTTGTGTTGTAGGTAACATAGAAAGTGGAACTAGGTCTCAATTCCAAGTCGAGTTTCGGCTTCAATTTATTCTGCCTTCCTCTTTAGGTAGCTTTGCTCGCCGGGTTTCAAGCACTGTGATATCGCCACCCACCGACTAGGCGCTAGACGCTAATTTATGGTAATGGTGAGAGATGGATTTGAAAAATGTGACAGAACTGTTTGCAGCCTGATAGGATGCGTGAAGTTCGGCAGGCACTGACCGCTATTTCACAGACTAGAGCATTTTAAATAGTAATATCATAATAATTATTAGAGTCAGTTCCTATGCAGCCTAAAAGCGAGATCACGCGTGGGGCTGACACATCTATCGATAAGTGAGACATCGCATCCAGAGTCAACGACTTAGCGTTTGACTGCTTTGAGTGGTGTGCGCAGCAGGGTTGCTTATGACACTTGACAGGGAATGTATGGCTGGGTGACTGCTTATAGGGGTGGGCTTTCTACTGAGTCTAATTTATAGCAGACAGCTAACCTTTCATCATCATCCAAGTCAGCTCTTCTCAGTCGACTGAGCGAGGAATTTACTGGAACCGCCCATCTTTCACCGTTGCTACCCAATTGATCATCACGTTTGCTCCTTCCACCACCTTCAGATGTCCTGCTGCTGGCCCACGCAGACGCTCCGCTCTGCTCAGGGAAGTTGACATCCAATGAAGGCACTAGTGGTGAGCTTATAGTGCGAGTTACTTGTTTCCCTGCGGTACTGCTCTGTGCACGTATCTTGGAAGACGGTATGCCTGATGGCAATGAGCCTTGCCTGTTTAGCTCGGTCGATTCTCTGTGTTCCTTGTGTGATGATGCAGTTGGGAAAGAGCCAGCTCTCTGGCGGCTAATATCCGCTATCGGTGATGGTGCTGAACCTTCTCGTTCAACACTCGCAGCCCTCTCTGTCCCATGAGTGCCCCTGCTAGCACGTTCCACGCTCAATTGCTGTCGAACTGCGTCGGGCTGAGGCGAGATGTTTCGGCGTCCGTCAGTGACGTCGTTCGAAGCAGTGTTGTCGAAGCATGGAATGAGCTGAACTGGTCTGGGTGGCTCGGGCCGGTTCACGTGCTGCACCTCTGCACAACTCTCCAGGCCGGTCGGGGGTAGTGGACATTGTTTCGTTGCCTTCTTCCGCCCTATGATATTCAACAAGCTTCTTGAGTTTCCTTCCAGGGTGGGCAGACTTCTGCGAGCTGCCTGAGGCACTGGGTTCTTCTGAGTTCTGCTAGGCGATGAGCGAGTCCTGACAGCTGTAGTCTTAACAACAGATTGCTTCCGGGGCTGGCTGTCACTGGTCTCTGGCTGTTCTGCCGGCTGGACACATGTCAAACAACAAAGACACCACCGGATCAAGACTACTACAAGTATCACACGTCCACAAACAGTCACAACGCACAGCACCAGCAGGTATATGCATAGCTTCAACGCCTGGCACCAGCTGCTTCATGGATAAGCAGAGGCACCAAACCGTCCACACGCAACACTGCTGAATGGGCAGAATCAGACATGGAATTGTCACTCATTGCAACGCCTGATCTGATAAATATGGTACATACTGTCACTAGCGTGCGTTATGCCAGCAGTTCTCTTCATGCAAGTATCAGCTTTGTCACCAACTACATCAACAATGCTCATACCATGCACATCCAGATCCGAATGGGTTGTTCATAACTTTGATTTTGCGGAGAAGCACGCAGAAGTCAGGATTATTGGAAGGATTAGTAAAGAAAGGCTCCAGTGAGTCATTGCACCAGAGAGAATGATACACATTACAGTACTTTCCTACCTGTTTGACTGCTTTGTCACCGTGGCTGTGCTTCTCTTCTCCATTAACCCTGCACCGGAACACACACACACACACACCACACAAGGAGGTTCTACTGGCACTGCACCGCCTTGTCGGGTTTCAGGAAATTAGCAATGCTGTACAAGGAATCACTTGGTCTCATATCCCAGAACAAATCCCGGATAATTATGGCCACAGATGGTGTGACTGATGACCAAAACACGAATCACTAATTCAATAACTCCCTGTACGAAAAAGGTGTCCGGTTTCTAAGTTCAAAGTATGGAGCTGTCCAATGCATACCTTGCTTGCACAACTCGAGGAGGTGCTCTTGATTCAGGGTCGTTTGCACGGGGATTGACGAGCTCCGTGACACTGCGACTTTGCCGCAGGTTCAGACCCGGATTACCTGCGGGAGAGAGAAGCGCCTCCTTAGATCCATTCAGACGACCGTTGCCGGTGTCGCCGGGGACTTGGCGAATATCTCCAAACGAACGACTCTTCCCCATTGGCAGATGCACTGGAGAACGGCGGGAATGTGACCGTCGCTCACCAGTAGTCTCCGGGCAAGAGTCTACATCGGACGAGATACCCATGTTCTTGCGGGCTAAATAGCTACCGATAAGATTGCTGGCATCTTCCTTTTGTACTCGCTGCTCGTATTCATTTTGGTGGCAGTGCAGCCGGTGACTCTCGGCCGCGGCCCGGTCTGCTTGTGGTTCGATTTCCAGGTTTTCACTGTCGCGAGACTTCTGCACTCCGGGACGTTTCTGTTTCCCGGTTGATTTTCGCACAGACGTCATGGGAGATTGACAGTCGTTAGCGGATGTGTCGGACTGATCACCACTTGCTGTGCTGTCGTATGGCTCCTTCTCCCGGTCTGGAGTCACGACTGGTAATGGAGCTACGGCCGGCCGTGGCTTTCCTGCTTTGGATACACCCTCGGTACCCCGCTTCTTTTTCAGCCGGCGGGCGGGTAGCTTCTTTGCGCCCGTTGTAGATGCCGACGATGTCGTCTTCCCGTCAGACGACTCTGCATCTGCTAATTGCTTGGTTACTTGCGGGAGCGGTCTCCTCTGTTGTCCTGTCTGACCGTTCTGTACAGCAAAGCAGCAATCAGTAGATGGGAAAGACAATTCACGTTTGGCCTGACTATGATGGCACATGATTAGTACTCTTTGTCCTGATCTAGATAGGCATCACTTGTAGGAACAATTATTCCAGGCACACAAGACAGTCATTGCGTTGACATCACAATACGTCCATTTAAATTGGCTACACCCCAGCTGGTTGTGTTTCTCAATACAATTGTATAGCAGGTGGTAACGCCGATGTGCGAACTTGAAATTTTTTTGCACCCCAAACCACCTACCTCTGTAGATCCAGTTGTCGTTGAATCAGAACACTCGCCACGTGTTTTGACATCGGTGAGTGGATTCGACTTCTGCCGACTTGCTGGAGCTGGTGGGAGCTGCCGGAATCCACCCAGGCTTGCTTTGGAACATTGACTAGTCTTCTTAGAAATAACATCTCGAGGAGAGGCGAGAGGAGAGCTATCTACCGCTGACTGGCGACGTGGTACTTCAGCTTCGGGCTGCTCTCGACTATTCTGAGCGCTGTCGAAGAGAAGATCATCAGCCGAAGCAGTGGACGGACATCGTGAGCCGGAGCTGCTGGACACGCTGCGTGGAGACTGTGTGCTGCACGCCGACGTGGACTGGGAGCTGAACGGAGATAGATCGCTCCTCCGCCGCTCGTCCTGCTCCGCCGGCTGGAAGGACGGAGAGAGGTGAGCAGGTGCTGCAAGACAGTGGACCTCTGACGACGGGCTGGAGTGTGAGACTGCAGACTGGCCGGGCTTGGGGGACGGGATCGGGTCTTCGGCCACTGGGGCTGTCGTGGATATCACTGGTGTCTGTGAAGTCTTGGTTGGCTTGCGCTCTTGCCTACATCGTCAAAGCACATGTAAAGAAAATCACGTTTTTTAAAAATGCCCAATGAATGCAATCCTATAGTTTTTCCAAAATGCATACTCCGGTAGTCAGGTGTTGTATTTTACTGGCAGTGGTTGGGTTTTTTAGGGAAGTCCATGACAAAATACTCTAGCTATATAACAAAAGAAACTGTCAAAGTACATACCGTGCATTATATACTCAGTCTTTCCGGAGGAGAGGGGGGGGGGGGGGGGGGAGGGCTAGATCACGTTACGCGTGTGTGTGTTGGGGGGGGGGGGGGTAGATCACGTTACGAGTGTGTGTGTGTGCGGGGGGGGGGGGGGTAGATCACGTTACGAGTGTGTGTGTGTGTGGAGGGGGGGGGGGGGGGGTAGATCTGAAGATGGTCCATCCAGCCATATGCAGAATACGAAACCCTATCATTGTTTGCCATTACTGTTCAATTGCACATAAAGTCATGGTACTAATCACAACCGAACCCGTAATGGATTTTGGATGCAATCCCTTACAGTCATGTTTGATGAAATTCATTCGTACATCATCCTTTACCCCATTACCTTATTCATTCGTACATCATCCTTTACCCCAATAACTTATTCATTCGTACATCATCCTTTACCCCATTACCTTTGATATCGATCCAGGTAACTGCGAATTGCCGTCTTGATGAAAGGTAGCCGAAGAAGTTCTTCTGCTGACGGACGGCGGCTAGGTCTCTGGGAGAGCATTGCACGGATTGTCGAGCCCAGTTCTTTGCTACATGTGTCCGGCACTGGCGGTGTCTGAAAACGAACGCAAGTTTCACACGCCCGGCAAACACCCCATTATACCTATGCTCCAGAGTCCATGCCTTCCCTTAGAGTGGCTAAGACCGCCCAAAATATATCCCAATATTAGTGGGAAGGCACCCTAGCTGTGAAAGTTGGTTAAGTTCGCACCCTAGCTGGTCGTGAATAACCTGCCTGTGATCATACTGGACGGTTGCCATGGTTATGCAACACACATTCGAATGATAGCCGCATGTAAGTAACTCTATGTCAAAGAACCGCTTTGCCAAGTATGGGCTGTACATAGGATCTATTCACTGTGCCCTATATCTACCAATCAAGTATCGGATGGGCATAGAATCTACTCGCAGCATCCTGTATCTATCACCAAGCATGGGTTGTATATAGGATCCACTGGTACTTACTTTGCCCTGCATCTATCACCAAGTATGGGCTGCCCATGGGATCTACCCGCTGTGCCACGTATCTATCAATCAAGTACGGGCTGTGAATAGGATCTACTTGTACAGGAACATTACTCACTTTGCCCTGTATCACCTTCATTGCCAAACCCTGGTAGTTGCGAGCACCAAACGCTCTCTTCAGCGTCGCCATCTCATACACCACGCAGCCGCAGGACCAAATGTCCGACTACACCACACGCACACAGTGAAGGCATGAATGCGAGAGAAGACAAAGAAGCACAATACAGGCTCAATGCGACGTTGAAGTATTACACGTCAAGACGCACTGAGATTCAATCAAACTCAATTTAGCTCCTGGAAGCTCGCACGGGTATCACCACAGTTTGTGTAGCCTGTTCACTTGCATCTAGCCGTGCGTGTCTTGCTTCATGTTTGAATGTTTACTAATACACCAAGAAACAAGTAGGGTAGGCATCCGGGGGCAAAAACGATTGCCAACGTCCCTCCACACATCACTGGTACCTCTATCGGCGGTCAGTCGGATGCATGTGAAATTGATGGCAAATGCACTGTGCACTTGGCTACTTCCATTGAACTCCATTTGTTTGTGAAACAGCACACTGCAAACGTGTACGGTGCATTTCAACGTAAACCCCTGTGCGTAAGTGATCCACAACATGACTGCTGCAGTATAGTGTAGCTGTTAACAGAGTGAGCGGCGAGCATTGCTCCTACCTTGGCACTGCATGGCTGTTAGTAAACAACCGCGTTTCTGATTCTGTTGTGTGGCTAGTTAGTGGACAAGCGCTTACCTTGAAGCTGTATGGTTTGTTAGCGAACAGCTCTGGTGACATGTAGTACGGTGTCCCGATCACAGTCATTGCCATGTCATTCTCATCCTCCAGAACTCTGGCAATGCCCAAGTCACCGACCTGACAATTGCCGGCCGTGCAACAGGAAAAACAGTACGACAGGGCGCATGGTCAGCAAGCAGTATTCTGTGCGTGCAATTAAGGGGTCCTGTCAGTCCGCTCCACCCAGGAGCCTGACATCACATACAGTAATAGGGGTCTGTCAGCCTGCTGTACTCAGGATACTAACAGTATAATTATACAGTAAAAAACCTGCAGTCTAACCAGGACACTGGCTGCATAAGCAATCCATATAGTACTTGTAAACATCAACACAGATCAAGAAAGGAAATTTACTGGTTTGCGAGCCTGTGAACGTTTTATTTGCAAGTGCCTTGTATCAGAGCCGTCCCTCAATCACTATGAATGAAACGTCACAGCTCACGCATCATGAACCAAGCACACTCACCTTGATGAGCATGCTCTTGCTGAGAAAAATGTTCTGCGTCTGGAAATAGATACACAACGGGGAAACGCAACCCAACGCTCAGATCATGGATTTGAGTAGAAAGAAAAAACAAGATATACCACTAATACAGGAATATGAGTGCAGTCGGAATGTACTGGCATGAATTTGTCATATCGCTTTTGCATGCCCAGCATCTTACCAAGAGTGCATAAACAAGAGTATGCAACTGTGGTTATGGCCCAGTGCGCGGCGCGCTGCCTTCATTACGTAACTTGCCTTCCATCACACTCTGAAAGCATGCATTCAAACTCACAATTTCTCGTACGAGTCCATCCGTTTTTGCTCGATTCGTTCCAGTACCTACGCGATCTCTGAATTCTGGCGCGTGAACTCCAGTTCCGTACGAAAGTTCATTTCAAACCAGAGGGAAAGTGCGGTGTTTGATTTTCCGCAGTGCGCGGACTGCAGCTGAATGATGTAATGAAGGCAGCGCGCCGTGCATCTGGCCCATAGAAAAGAGATCACAGTTGTTGTTTATGGACTCTTGATCTTACTGTATGTACATCCCTGTTTCTGCCTCGCATCATCATAGCCTGAATACAAAGTGTTGCAACCATAGGCGGAGCATCATCTAACTGTTCCAATGCCACACAATAACATGTAATACTAAGTCAACATGCCATTGGTACAATCATTACAGTATGACATGGGCGGTAGAAACAATTTTTCTTACGCCGTGTTTTTCCAAAGAACCAATTCACAAATGTGCACTGCAAATCTCTGCCACACGTTCGCACTAGCTAAGCAAGGTGCGTGATACAGACAGTCTGACTTGTGGCAGTGGATGAGCTACTTGCCCGCTAATGCTGCGTGGGTGGGCATGGCGGGTGTGAACTGCTCGGCTCACCTTCAGATCCCTGTGCAGTATGTTGTGCCTGTGCAGGTGATCCAGTGCCAGCGTGATCTGCACAAACCAGTCCATGATCTGCTGCTCGTCCAGGTGACCGGTCACCTTCTCGCGCAGGTGCGTGTACAGGTCGCCACCAGCACAGTAGCCCATCACGATGTGCAGCACGCCGCCAGAGTCCTGGAACGATTCCTTGTAGGAGACGATGTTCGGATGGTGCAGCTTAGCCAGCAGTTTGGCCTATATGCAGGTAGAGTTGGGCAAGGGAATGAGCAAGATAAGGTTGCAAACGCATTCAAATATAGTGGACACCGGTATAAACATTTGTGCCCTTTTCAGTTTGCGCTCCGTATGTCATAAAAAGGAAATGTTTGGGTTAGTTCGGGTATGGTGTTTTGGGATCCATAATGGTATGGCCTTCACGAGTCCGGGAATGTGCATTTCGTAAGGCAGTTCCACATGTGTGCATGCGTGCACACACACACACACACACACACACACACACACACACACACACACACACACACACACACATACACACACATATATGTACACACACACACACACCATTGACCATTTGACGCCCATCGCCAGAGGCGATGATAGCGATGCTACAGCAGAAGCAATAGCAGCTTGTGCTGGGATTGCACCATTCAACAGCTTGCAAGGCTGAAGAATTGACCGCCACTATTCAGCCTGGTCTACACCACACAGCTATGAAGTGGCTTTTTCTGGCCAGTGAATCCCTACTTTTTGGTCTTTTTCATTTTTATTTTTTTCACGCACACACATCACACCACATACTCCGGCATGCACTGGCTGTTGGTAACCACCCAGGAGAATGAAAGAAAAGTCAGGAGGAGTCTGAGAAAGAGAAGAAAGATGTGTGTGATAATCGTCGGGAATGGAATCCGCAACCTATCAATCGGAAATCGCTGCACATACCACTGCACCATATGGCACACACACGCGCACACACACACACACACACACCTTGACCTTTGACGCCCATCGCCGGAGGCGATGATAGCAATGCTACGGCAGAAGCCATAGCAACTTGTGCTGGGATTACACCATTCAACAGCTTGCAAGGCTGAAGAATTGACCGTCACTATTCAGCCTGGTCTACACCATACAGCTATTTGGAGTGACATTTTCTGGCCAGTGAATCCCTATTTTTGGTCTTTTCATTTTTTTTCCCCGCACACACATCACACCACATACTCCGGCATGCACTGGCTGTTGGTAACCACCCAGGAGAATGAAAGAAAAGTCAGGAAGAGTCTGAGAAAGAGAAGAAAGACGTGTGTGACCATAAACGTCGGGAATCGAACCCGCAATCTATCGATTGGAAATCGCTGCACATACCACTGCACCATATGGCACACACACACACACACACACACACACACACACACACACACACACACACACACACACACACACACACACACACACACACACACACACACACACACACACACATGCACACACATACACACACATATATACACACACACACACACACACACACACACACACATGCCGACAAACACAGCTATGCGAACAGACCTCCTGCAGTGCTGCATCCTGCTGCCTCTTCTTCACATCTTTGATGTCCATCTTCTTCACCACATACTGCACACAACCGTACATAAGAAAATGCAGTCATGTAATGGAGCACAGTCGGATAGAGAATAAGCACATGATACAAAACAATGAATATTTCAAGCATTCTGGGAAATTTCCATTCTTACTACTATTGTTATTCACTACCCTGTACTGGATAACGGAACCGTAGACGGTCTTGAGAACATTAATTTTAGTATTGTAACGATCAATCACTCTAGGTTTGCATGTGATGGCTCCTGACACTATTGTTCAGACTTGGTGCATGGACAGTCAGTGGATGTCACAAGCTTTTGGAAATTTTGGAATCAGCTAATGAACAAACGATAGGTTAGGTAGCACACAGATTTACGATATGGACCAAGTGAGAACACCAGTGGCTGAATAACTGTAAAGTGTAATGCTGACAACGGTGGATGGATGTGGATGGATGTGGATGGATGTGGCATGAAAATGTACAGCCTTCAGCGTCCTGTCTTGACATCATGATCATGGACAAATTTGTAACACAATAGATGCACACAAGTCACACAGAGCACCACGCATCTTCGTTGTGTAAAACAATAGGTGCTGTAACTGAGTTTTCGCCATTGTGGCTCTCACCTGTCGGCTCTCTTTCAAGTGCTTGACCAGGAACACCTCGCCATAGCTGCCTTTGCCCAGCGGTCGTAGAGTCTTGTAGCTTTCCATCGTCAAACCACCGCAAAACTATCCACCGAGAGCCAATCATTGAAGATCAGAAACACCTGCGTATCATGGCAGTGCACGTTCCCGACTGTGCAGCACCGACTTGTGGACAAGCCAAACACTAGAAACTCTCGAGCTCGGCGTCGAGCGCACTGCTCTTCCTCCTCTAATTGCAAATCGGATCGATCGTCACGCAACCGATTCATTCGTCGTAATTGACACTAAGCCAGGAGGCTGGAAAACTGTCCACGGGATTTCGCGAAATAGAATTACTTCAAACTGCAATGATCAGGTTTCACGGACCAACACGAGAAGCAGTTATGATGCATAGCTAATACGTCCACGCTCTCCTTAGTCCTAAGCTCACCACCGGTATTCCACGGGGACGGCGTCACGCACATTCAAAACAACAATGTTTATTGGGCCAATTACTACAAAAGTACAAGTGAAACAAAAGTTGATTCAACGACGTGTTGTCTGTTGCCGCACCAGTTCAGATATCTGGCTATAGTATAGACTGGAGTCGGAGACCAGAGCCGTGGGATACCACGCCAAGAGCTGACAGCCTAGATACGATCAGAGAAAACCAAAATGACCGTGCAATGTCGTGGCATCCAGGTGGATTCTACCGCGAAGCGCGTGAGCTCTACACTTTAGATCCTAGAAAGACACGACAGTCGTAGACGCAGCTAGGTCTATCTCCGGAACTCCGTGATCTATGTCTCAAGAGTCTATGACCAGTTGCACTGCAGTGGTAGTGCCTGTTGCCAGTAGGTACTCACGTGAGTCGACGCGATGCAGAGTTTCCCGGGTCAGTGGAAGAACAATCACGGTGCCGTGGCGATGAATCAGGCCAGCCAGCTCAGCCTGGGTAGCGCTGACATGACACTTGGTCCGTCCTTGAACTGTCATTCGCATCCACCATGTCCACAGGCAGTGCGAAATGCATCACAGGACGCCGCCGTTGTTGCCCGGTCGGCGTCTTCAAGCGCAACCTAACCGAGCATGAAACGTAAACAGAGATAGTTACTATCTCCTGTTACTACTGTAGTACATGAACTAACTGTACTGTACTGTAGTGTAGACTGAGTGTAGTGTTAGTGTTACTTGTAAGTGGTATTTTGTAAAGCACTGCCCTCATCTCAATAGGTTGCAATGTAGTATTGTAGGTTGGACAAGTAGAACTGTCCATGGAGGAAAGCTCTGAGTGTAGGAACTAATGTAATGATCATGGTGATCATGATTGCAGTGTCTGCTCTAGGATTGTAGGACAGCCGGTTACACGTGTACCTGGCGCAACCATTTCAACCGGGTGGGAGCCGGGTACCCAATGTACCTGGCGCTGTCTCACCAGCCGAGTCACATGCTTTTTAACTGGTTGGTTGGTTTATTTTAATTCGGACCATAAACGGGAACTAGGCCCAATGATTATAAAGGCGAATGGATAGGCCGCATTTAGAAAAGAGAAAGGAAAAAGACATTATGGATACGAGTTAAGAGTAACTCTCCATCACTGTAACATGATACTTTATACAGTCAGAAAGTGCAATAACTAGGCACAAGACTGACAGAGTACTGAGACATTCGACGTCCTGACACCTAGCCTCAACACATCTCCGTACTCTGTCAGTTTTGTGCCTAGTTATTGCACTTTCTGACTGTATAAAGTATCATGTTACAGTGATGGAGAGTTACTCTTAACTCGTATCCATAATGTCTTTTCCTTTCTACATTATTTATGGCTCACCATCCGAGTTAGAAAGGAGAGGACAGGAATTAGAAAACTACGAAAGAAGAAGTATCTGACACATACATGTACAAGCCATGGACATGTAGTCAGTCCTTTCAAAGTTCGAAAGTGTAAAGTACCACTCTCGCTTGTGCCATTCAGGACATCATACAGAGAATGAAGAAAGAGAGAGAGGGAGATAGAGAGAGGGAGAGAGAGAGAGAGAGAGAGAGAGGAGAGAGAGAGAAGAGAGAGAGAGAGAGAGAGAGAGAGAGAGAGAGAGAGAGAGAGAGAGAGAGAGAGAGAGAGAGAGAGGAGAGAGAGAGAGAGAGAGAGAGAGAGAGAGAGAGAGAGAGAGAGAAGAGAGAGAGAGAGAGAGAGAGAGAGAGAGAGAGAGAGAGAGAGAGAGAGAGAGAGAGAGAGAGAGAGAGAGAGAGAGAGAGAGAAGAGAGAGAGAGAGAGAGAGAGAGAGAGGGGAGGGGGGGGGGGGGGAGAGGGGGGGGGGGGGGCGGGGGAAGGAGAGAGATGGCCTTATGAAGAATATTATTATTCTTCCTGAGTGGCGTGCGAGCACCAGTTGTTCGGAACTGGGAGCGCGGTGACCTGGTGACGTCGCAGGCGACAGTATAAGATATATCCGCTGATAAATTGTGATAATCAACAGTACAGGATCGAGCAGTGCAGCAACTAATTATGTACAGTCATATACTTCTGTGCTGTTTTTTTTCTCCCGTTTGTGGTTATTGCCATATTGGCTGGCTTGCACGCTGTGTACATGTAGTGACAGTGTTCATGGTGTTTGGGGACAAGGAGTGACTTGACATCAACCAAGACAGGCCTGATACAATCGCGTGAATTGTGAGCTCAGTAGACTTGCAAGACTGCATGTGGAGTATACAGTGCTGCTCCATGAAATCCAGTAGTTGCGTTTAAATACACGGTACATGTACTTGTAGTGATGTACATGTACATGCGGTAGGGGTAGCATTCTTCGTTATCTCAATATCTGAATTGACCATTGTCAACAGCATTCGCTTTGGCATCACTATCCGACTGACTATAGTTGTACTGGAGAAGTGCCAAGGAACATCCAATCTAGAATCGTAGATTACGCAATAGAATGTCCACCACCATCAAAGGGCAAACTACATGTATGTCTGTGCAAGACCACAGACTAGTATGAACCGTTTGGGAAGAATTAAATTAAATTATTATAATTTTATTGCCCTGGTTCTGCGCCAATGTATTATACATGTCGCATAATGCTGCATTGATAATATATGGAAGCGTCTAGAACTAACTTCTGAAGGCACTGCATGTCCTCGCTGTCCTCAAAGAGGGAAAGACAATGATTGAATCCTTATGAAGTATGTTCAGGTGAATTGCGACACATCACCAGCATTGTGCTTTCGTCTACGTGTAACGTACAGTTCATAAGGCTGAACGCTGTATTCATCAAACTGCCAAGTGGTACGTACGTACGCGTTTGGCATGATCGCATAGATCTAGATGACGTCCACCACGGCACGACCGTATCGTTCCAGGGCCATACTGCCTGATGATACTGGTACATGTTCGTAACGTCGTTGACGGTGGTGCCATGCCTAGCACAGGCTGCTCTGTGGGTGGAACGTAGGAGGTATCAGTTACACTCACTCGGAGCAGGTGGAAGTCACCAGTACCTGTCAACTCTATGTAGATGAATATTGATTCCATTGTATATTGCAATACTTGATAGACTTTTAGCCGAAAAAGTCAGATGACACCTACGTATGCTGCGAGCAACTCCCCACTGAGCTTTCAGAGATTGAATATTGATTAGAATGTACATTGGAATATACGTGTATACTAACCAAGTCTGTCCGCAGATTGTGTATACTAACCATCAATGATACAATCAACCAGGGAGAAGTACAATACCGTAATCATTAGTGCACTGCCTGCAAACAACGAATCATCCTTCTCGCCTCGTTCTATCATCCATGTAGTAGCTCACACTGTACCTCATCGTAACCCCACACCTCCGCAATGTGTTGGCTTCCTTACTTGCTAGACTGATTTTATGTCATTGTGGACGACTGATTTGAATCATAATTATCTTCCTTATTGGCCATGGCCATGGCATGGGTCATCGTGGAAATAAAGAATAAAGAATCTTATTAATAACGCAATAAGGAGGACGAGCTGAAGTGACATTTGCGTTATTAAAATTGTTGTCTCCTCGCCGAATATTTGAATAAAGAAACCTTGTATTTAAATTAACGGATACGCTTGTATGCCGCTTTGACACTATAAAGGTATAATTATACCGCTAACAGAGCCTACGGGCCATATGCAACGCTTCAGGTGTTGCAATTTGCCAGAATGTTGGCAAGCAATCAAGCAATACGCGTTATACATGTAATTTAGGTGTCAGGTATCAAGACGTTCAAGCTCAACCAATGGCATGCGTGGTCACTGAAAATAAGTGCTCAAAGCGTCATCTGGAGCACAAGAAAGATAGCAGGTGCTGAGGTGGAACACGCATGCCCTCACTGTTGTTTACCGTATTACACAATCAAATCAACTCGGTGGCAGAGTCCAACAACTTTGCTCCTGTGAATCACGGAGAAACATAACCACTAATTCTATAAAGAGACCTCATTCATCCCGGCAGGCTTGATAAACATAAGAACATCGCTATAATATATACGGGTACATCAGTGACATGTGTGCACGGATAGTACTGGTGGATGGATGCATGCATGGCACATGCGGATGATAGCGTTCTGCCAGGCTGTGTCTCTCAGTCTCCCTAACCCTTGGTGGATAGAGCCAAGAAGAAACATTTGCAGAAGATGGTACTTTTCTGGTATGTTTCATGCATGTTTGGTACTTAGAAGTATGTGGATAAAGATGTGGAGCAGAATTCAAGGAAGTGCCTGCTATAAGGTTTGTATGGTTCTGCCAATATCACTGCTTTTCGAGCAGAATCTGCCGATTTGTTGAGCATTCTCCGGCAAGGGCTACCTCTCACCTGTCAGCCTTTAGTAGTTTACGCGAAGCTATGGTTGTAATCAGATTGGGAAAGTCCACATGAAATCGAACTGGTGTATGTCACCTTCTTGGGTCATTTCTTCAGGTCGTGAACCCTTTTTTCACACGTGAAGTAGAATGTGAGTAAGCTCGGGGGAGCTTACGTACCCTTGCTTGTGCTGTACTACCTACCCCCTGGACGCACCAGTCAACATCCCGTGCTGGCTATTGCCTATTGGTGTGCGGCATGTCGCCGGTTGTCCAGCTTGTCAGCCAACCTTACCCCTAGCCCTGGACCTGGACACCAAGCCTAATATTAAGCCATGCACTGTGGATCTCCCGAAGGACTTGAGCGCGGCTCTCCCACCTCTGGGGTCAGCGCGAGTCGAGTATGAATACAGTTTGCAGTGGCGCGAGGAAAACCATGAAGGTAAATCGAATCTTTCAACTAAGCTGCAGACTGTGCAGATTTGGGAAAACTCGGAGCCCAGACTCTGTGACTGCACGTCACCTGTGCACTTGACATGTCTAGTCATTTCTGTCTGTCATCATGATCTGCAGCTAGGTGTTGCTTCATTGATTCCTTTTTGAAGTTCAGAACGCCGGAGTCGTCGCCAAGACGGCATGAATCACAGCAGATCGACCGGATCGAGGAAATCAGAGCATAGTCGCAGAAGACAAAGGGGAACACGTCGTGCAACAATTGATTCGCTCAACGACAACGCACCTAGCTTACATGTACAAGGCGGTACAATGTAGAAAGGGTGCTGACTACTCTTTATTGTACCGTGCTTGACTGACCAGTCACGACTCACGACTGCCATCCAGAGCACACGGGAAGTCCATCGAACCTTCGACTCAGCAAACCTGCAAGAAAGCACGACTTCCCGTGTCCTCTGGATGGCAGTCGTGAGTCAGTAAAGTGTCAAGTCAAGTCGGCGGAATAGCGCGCCCTCCAGTGTGGGGAGCAAACCCTTTCCTAACAATCATCGCCGAAGTCGCAACCAATACTAGTGCTGGCCAAAGAAATCTAATATTAAACGTTATTGTAGGCATGCCGGTGATGGCACATGGACGTGGACATAATGCATGGAGATTATTTATTTTTTAATATTGCGCCAGTGCTTTCCGCCATACATGTGGTAAACTACTGTCCAGCTCCAAAGAAGAGTACCTACTGCACAGTCATGTGAGACATTATTACTACTTGTACAAAATAATGGAACAAAATGGCGCTGATGTTGAATGTACGCAACTGTGAACCCTAAATTACAGCGTCATGTACTGTAGCAAAGCACACATACCGTACCGGTATCTTATCTTCTTGGTCAACCGTGTCAATTACCCTTTCTTTCTTTTTTACAAGAATTCACATGGCCAATTCCATGCAGCACAGCATGCAAGAAAGCGGTGGCATATTGTGTGGGGCGCACGAGTCAAGATCGGATAGTGCTAAATGCCACTAACACAACACACGTGCTGGAAAATGTAGAATAATTGAAATGAGATGGGAGAATGGGGCGTGGTATTCCAGCAACTGTGGGAGAGCACATTTTCATCAGCGACAACTGTCATTAGGACTCGAATTTCGGGTCGGATCCATAACAGGGTACAGCATACGAACAGTACAAGCATGACAAGTCCAGCTCAAACTTTGGCTAGGAAAGTTTTCGCTGGTTCTTCTCAACTAACAAAACTACCGAAGGTTCGTATTTCCACAGCATTTCAGAGCATTGGTACTATCTCACCAAGTCGAATGAAGCGTACAGGAACCTAAATTACATAACAGCTTTGTACAAGAAATGGGTAAATAAAGAAGAAAATACTGAAATATGAACAAAAACTGTACAGGTAAGAACGCAAATGACAGAGCTAGAAAGAAAAGCAGAGGTTCAACACTCCTAAACAGCAAGTGACTATGTACAGATAAATTCGGTTCTCCTTTCTCTCTCTCTTTCTCTTGAGACAACAGCGAAAATACAAGATGATCAGCAAGCCAAGATGGCCAAAGATGGTGCTGTGCGATAACTTCTTCATTACGCAACCAAACAAAGCCGACGGAAATAATCCAACACACAGAAGAGAAGGGCACTGGGCAAGCGGTTAGCAATGGCTTACTGACTACGCCCAACACGCTAGTCTTCTAGTTCAGGAATGGCATCCTCAAGTCGCTTCACGAACTTCAGTCGTATTTCCGTTGTGTCGTCGCCGCACAGAGAGTCCTGCACGAATTTCACTTCCACCTCCATGTACACCTGCATGGACGAGGGCAAATGCAAGGCAGCAGCAGTAGGTTTAAGCGGTGCAGCTGAGCATTGTCTCTCCAACGAAACACAGCCATGACCCCTCACATCTTTTTCTAAAATAGATACGGATGCCAGCATCTTTAAGACCTGCAGCTCCAGCCGTAGCCCTCCCTCCCAAAAACAATCAATCATGTCAGCATTGAGCATTGTCACCATACTCTTTACCATTTACCCCCCCCCCCCCCCCCTCCCGCAAACACGGTACCATAAAATGCACTGGACCAGCGCCGCAAACCAGCGAAGGCGTTTCAGCGCTGGTCTTGCATTTTTGATCGAGCTCCTTCTGCCATTTCACTCTCCTTGCTCATGCAAAGCTCACTTTTTTGTAGCTACAGGTGGAATCCTGATAATTAGATATTTAAATGCCAGGAAAAACTTCTAATTATCCGGACATTCTAATTATCCAAACTTGAACCCACAACACAATATGTATGTCAACATGCTCTCATGGTCACGCAGAGTTGCGCTATGGACCTTAGAAATATATTTCACGGATCCTGAACTGACCGGCACAGCCTGCTCATGAAAACTGAACTGACCAGTACAGTGTACAGCGAACTTCGAATTACACTTTGCTAACTTCGAATTATCCGCACAAATCCCACACATTTTCTATGTAAGTGGAATGCGTAGTACTTCTAATTAACCGGACATGTCCAGTTCGAGGTTCGAATTATCAGAAATTGTCATACGCCGGGAATTGTATTGATAGAAATCGGTCCTGGAAAAACTTCTATTTAAGCGGTATGTTCGAATCAAGCCATATTCGAATTATCAGGATTCCACCTGTATTCGCGAGTCTTTGATTGAATTGGAATGAGTGCATCCTTGGCCAACAGCTGACGTACTCAGGGAAATCCCAGCTGTTTAGGCACACCATATGTACACCACATGCATGCACCCCCCCCCCCCCCCCACACACACACACACGTACACTAACGCAGCACATGAGCACACAGTCTCTTTTCTTGCATGATGGAGACGGGAGCGGTTTTGGATGCTCCTGCTGTCCATATAAACTATGATGGTAAAGACTGGCTGTGCTGAAAGCCATTCTGGCCTGTAGCACACCAGCTGCGGATATTATCAAGAGTACATAACCCCCCAGAGTGTGCAACGCCGATCCAGCTCTGCATAGGGTCTTGGTCGAGCGGAATCGGATCTTCTGATGTCATGCGTACACTCCACACCAGCGCAAAGCCGGTCTCGAGGCAGGGTACCGTTGTTTTTGATCCAAGAGTACACAAGGGTGCTGGACACCCTTATGACGCAAAGATCCGATTCCGCTCGACCAAGACCCTATGCACAGCTGGATCAGGCGTTGCACACTCTGGGGGGGGGTTATGTACTCTTGATATTATTCAAGTGGATTTACATGGCAAGCCTGGCTTCTGTGTCGTATATCTGAGTGCCACTGTGGTTGCTGAAAAACCTCTGTCCCAAGCATCCGTGTCTATCAACGATAAGAGCTACCAGCTCATAAAAGGTGATGGGTGGGTAACGATCACCCCAGTATTAGTCTATGGAAGTCCCTCTACTCTGCATAGTTCAAAGCTGTTAACGGGTTTAGCGCAGTACTTGGACGTGATTGGCAATATTCACGATAGACATGTACAGTTCGATGGCATCCAAATTCGTACAGGCATTCGTGTGGTCCCGGCTAAGTTGAAAGCGCCCACCCCATGTAAAGTGAAGTTTGGATCTGAGTGTATTTGGAGAGTGTGGCACCCTGGTCTGGGCCAGACCGGACCAGACCTGCTACTGCTGTGACAAACCCGGTCACACAGCCAAGGACTGCCCTGAGAAAAAGAGCTCTCCAGGCCAAGCCGCTGAGAATCTCAACCAAAGTGTTCAATGTTCTCGAGGTACTCGTACTGCGAAGGAATCTGCTCAGCCTGCCCAGCAACACTGTAGCGTACGCACTGCAACAACGGGTGCAACAAACATACGCACACATAGTACAAGTCCCATACTGGTACCACTCATGTGTGCCAACGGTGGCAAGTCAGCAAACAGTGCAGAGTCAGGCGAAACCCAGGGCATGCGACCCATCAAGCCGAGTCACGTACCACAGAGGGTGGCAATGTGGTGAAGCCAACCGGAAAAGACCACAGCGCCCCCGGTGGCATCAACGACGTACAGGAGAGCTCTAATATTGACGCTATCAACACTTCCACCAGCGAGTCACGGCGTGACCAGGTGGCTGCCTTGGAGCTTCATACCTCCATTGAGCCCTCTGGCAAAAGCTTCAGTCCACAGGTGAATGTGGAGTAGCAACACAATGCGTTCCCCGTACCCCTTGCCCACTCAACACCTGCCAACAACTGCAAAGGTAATGGGTGGACTAAGGTAGAGACGCGGAGGTCACAGATGAAGCGACGACAAGGGAGATCCTGTTCTGGAAGTAGCGGAGAGGTGAGAGCCTCGAAATGGAATGGATTCTGCAAGGTGAAGGCAAGTACAGGACAGTGAACCATCTTGCATGCTCTCTACATATTTCCGTTGTTCTGGATTTTGCTGACCCGTACAGTTCCATCTTTTGTTTTTGGTGAGTGTTTTGGGCCGTGATGCTGAGACCTCAGGTCGGCAGAGCCATCAATGCCCCGCCATCACTGCTGCGTCTCGGTGCAGCCCCTGCTCAATAGTTGTCACGTTCGTCCTAGTCTCAGTACCATTGTCTTTCATTATTATTTTCGAGTTGGGCATGTGAACATAGTACCCCCCCCCCCCCTCCCCCCCCCCCCCCCCCCACACACACAGCGGAGTATGCACATATGCTATACATGAAAACCCACACCTACACTCCTCCCCCTTTGACCTATTGACGCCCATCGCCAGAGGCGATGATAGCGATGCTACAGCAGAAGCCATAGCAACTTGTGCTGGGATTGCACCATTCAACAGCTTGCAAGGCTGAAGAATTGACGGCCACTTTTCAGCCTGGTCTACACCACACAGCTGTTCGAAGTGGCTTTTTCTGGCCAGTGAATCCCTACCTTTTGGTCTTCACCCCATTTTTCTACACAGACACATCACACCACATACTCCAGCATGCACTGGCTGTTGGTAACCACCCAGGAGAATGAAAGAAAAGTCAGGAGGAGTCTAAGAAAGAGAAGAAAGACGTGTGCGACCATGATCATCGGGAATCGAACCCGCAACCCTCCCCCATATACAGACACACAGACAAAACAATAACAGCAGTAACTCCACAGAACAGAACCAACCATTTCCAGTGCTCCACGGAGCGCTCCACACAGAACGTTGGAGTATAGAAGAGTGCGTCTCTCATCTGGGATTTCTACAAACTCTGTCAGAGGATTGCTGTCAAGAATCAAGGAAAACTCATCACCGGATGCACTCCAATTACCAATGGTCGGAGAAACACCTAAGTACATCTTGAATCCAATCTGTACAGAACAAGAGAGAAAGCAAAATGGAGAACAAAACATAGACAACGCAGTCAGTGCAGTCCAATCCCACATGCCGGTTTGCTCTCTCTCTCTCTCTCTCTCCCTCCCTCCCTCCCTCCCTCCCTCCCTCCCTCCCTCCCTCCCTCCCTCCCTCCCTCCCTCCCTCCCTCTCTCTCTCTCTCTCTCTCTCTCTCTCTCTCTCTCTCTCTCTCTCTCTCTCTCTCTCTCTCTCTCTCTCTCTCTCTCTCTCTATCTCTCTCTCTCTCTCTCTTGAAGATCAACAAACTTGTTTAGCAACATGCACTATGATGTGTGCTGGAACAGTGTGCATGGGCGTTCTCTGCCAGACTTCCGAGAAAAGTGATTCAGACATATCGATGTCAGTGTGTCACCTGGCACATTATATAATAAACTACCTGGTGCTAACTGAAGTGGACTCTCTCTCTCTCTCTCTCTCTCTCTCTCTCTCTCTCTCTCTCTCTCTCTCTCTCTCTCTCTCTCTCTCTCTCTCCGTCTCCGTCTCTCTCTCTCTCTCTCTTGAAGATCAACAAACTTGGTTAGCAACATGCACTCTTATGTGTGCTGGAACAGTGTGCATGGGAGTTCTCTGCCAGACTTCCGAGAAAAGACATATCGATGTCAATGTGTCAACTGGCACATTATATAATAAACTGCCCGGTGCTAACTGAAATTGAGTGATTGTTTTGTTCATATGTTAGCACATGCGCTTAAGTGGAAGTACGGTAACTATGTATTATAAGGCAGATTGGACAGCATTACTGTTCTTGGGATATGAACCCACCCTTGAGATGACGTCGGCAGTTTCCTTGAAGTCATGGCATCTGCCGACATTTGATCGGGCCAAAAAATCCTCGATTAGTCGAACGCCAATGTTGTAGCCACTGGGATATGCAAAGACAGAAGACATGACAGAATGTAGTCAGCTGAAAAGTTGCCTCAAGAATAGGACAAAGTTGTTATCTTCACCCCCCTCCTCCACACAGACACATCAAATGGCCAACAGCAAAACAAATCGTAAAACGCAGACTCTACAGCAGCTCGTACCATGGTCAGGAAAAGAAGACAGTGCTGAGTTACACGCTGTGCTAGAACATTGATCGGTTAACGAGTGCTGAAAAACTATCATGTCCACGTGTTACGTGCGGAGGGAAGTCAATGAAATACATGTATGTCTGCCAGGGTCCCATTCCACCACCCACCAATCTCTCTGACATACTGTAAGAAGTCACATTCATCCACACACTGTACCGACAATAGATTATTGGACGGCCGAGGCTACCCAGAATAGATTCTTCGTTTCGGGGTCACCTAACCCACCGTCTTTTACCCATGCGACCAAAGAACTATTTGAAGTGCCACGACAGAGCGACGCTATTGTAGCTGAGGGTATTGTAGCTGAGGGTAGTGGCCCAAAACAGCAAACTATAGTGAAACCTGTGAAGGCACTACATGTACATGTATTCAGATATGGTGACCACTCAATCAAGCAGCGACAAAGGCAGGCTGCTTGATGATGTCATACTTGGGAGCCAAGCAACACCGCAAATGTCATTACAAAATCAGGCCTCACTACTGGGGACTGACATCATTCACCACCACAAGTTAACCTCTTTGAAATTTCCCGACTACATTTTGGTGCTGGAAACGCGCTTTTGAAACAGTGGGAGTTGGAAGCAACGGAGAGCGGGGCAGAGCCGCGGAAAGCCAAGGTGTCCCCAAGAGCAGCCTAGACTGATCACATGCCACCAGCGGTAGTAAAACCATTCAGTTGAGAACTTGATCCAAACGCTCAAGCTGCTTCCGGTGACTCTTATCTGATCAAATCCCACCCTATTCTAACCAAGAGTACATACCCCCCCCCCCCCCCCCCCCCGCCAAGAGTGTGTAACTCCACTATGGGTGCTGTCGCGACAGAATTTCAAGTTGACATTTTTATGATGCAATGCGCATTGTACACGTATAATGAGGTGTATCCCGGACATGTGGTGGACAAGTCCGGCTTGATCTTGTACAAGGAAACATGTGTGATGCGTTGACACTCCGTACAAACATTGTAAATCACTCGTGCCAAGATCATTGCATCATAAAAAATGATGTCAACTTACTTCTGTCGGGACAGCAGGGTATGTGGGAGCTGCACACTCTGGGGGGGGGGGGGGGGGGGGGTATGCACTCGTTACATAATGTTCTGCAAGGATGCTAGGAAATGTACTGCTTCGACACCTCGTCAGTCATTTACACTCCATATATTCGGTTTTTCAACAGGTTTTTCCGCCGTTCTATCTGTAATATATTCAGTTACCTTCGGTAATTTCTTTCACTTGCGATTTTTCCTCCTCCCCTCCCCATTACTATTATTATTAAATTCGTTATGTCGCTCACATGTATAAAAGGAGGTGCCAGGGCCTGTTTGTGTTGCGACTTTAAATAAAATTCAACAACAACGACAACGACAACAACAACAAAAAAACAACCTCTTATTGGCGATGGTGCCATCGTGAGAATAAAGAATTCAATGACGACAACGACGACGACAACAACAACAACAACAACAACAACAACAACAACAACAACAACAACAACAACAACAACAACAACAACAACAACAACAACAACAACAACAACAACAACAACAACAACATAGCTATGCATGTGTGGTCAGTGCATGACGCTAATGAACTAACTTGGCAGGGAGCATACTACACATGTAACATACAGAGTTAGCATACCTATGCACTGTATAGACATGCATTCCACAAAGTATTTAGGAAACTTCACTTCTCAACTCCAAACTCCAAAAACAGTATCTTCACTGCGATTCAAATTCAAATTTACATTACACTAAATTTTCGGGCCTGGCCCATCATCAGGATAATGAAGATAGGCCAGGCCCGAAAATTTGGTGTAATGTAAATTTGAATTTGAATCACAGTGAAGATACTGTTTTTGGAGTTTGGAGTTGAGAAGTGAAGTTTCCTAAATGTGTAAATGGCTGCGTTGGAGTTTGCAGACAATTAGAAAAGTTCCACAAAGTACTTGGATTAACACAGGAAATCCCTGCGCTTTGACGTACGACACAAACATGTACGTTAATAGGTGGGCCAGGCTGGACGGCAGGATTTGATAATCCAGCACCCTTGTTTATCCAGCAGAAAAGGCTGCTGCAAAAGGTGCCGGAGTAGAGAGGGACGACTGTATAACGTGCATTCGCAGTCAATGCAGAGCTGTGACGTACTTATAAGATAAGGGAACCACCTGACCAAGGGACCGATTTGTCCAGTCCCTTCAACAGCTAGTGCTATTCTAGGCAGGTACACTGTAATTCTGGGGGCCTGATTACAAAAAGAAAGACGAAAAGTAAACTTCTCATCCCAGTCACTGTAGCAACATTCTGCTTTCCAACATACCAGGTTTCAATTCTCAAGTACATGTACCAACACACACGGTACTTTACTACTTGTTGCCCAGCGCCGTGAACAAGCCAGTGGCATTATGGACTTCGTATCATTCCAACATTATGGACCACAAGTGTATCTCGTCACGAACGGTGATATAAAACAAGTCTAAATTAATCAGTGACAAGACGTAGATCTACGTGTACAAGAATTTATACAAACATCTACTGAAAAAGAGTGGCAACTTACAGCTTGTCCAGCTGTTTGTTGACCTCTTCGTCACTCTCAAAGTCTTTGATCAGTTGTGAGACCAAGGCTCCGTACGTCAACGCAAATAGCTCACCACTCTGGTTGAAAGAAATTCGAACATGAAAATAGAGACTGATATTGATCCACTCCAATTACTAGGGAAACGAGCGTTTCTACGATCACACAACGAAACTTGCTAGATACGTACCAGCTTCTTATTATCAGTGGCAGCAGGAGGTCTTCCTGACGCTCTGTGTGCCATTCTGGACGTCTACCAGCTAATTATTATATCTTCGCCAAGAAGAGAACGTTCAAATCCAAAATGAAAAGTCAGAATGTTTCTTGCCAGTGCCTTTGGAGTTTGGAAAAATAATTAGAGTCACCATGTACCAGTGCACTGTGCAGTGCATGCAGTGCAGTACAGACTGTCAGTGTACATGTGGGTCGTGCGACGTGCATCGTGAACTTGATCCGTGACGTCATTATTAACTGGTCGCCGAAGGTCGATATGGTGGATGACAATCGATCACCCGAAAACATTCCTGGCCTGGCCAAAATAGTTGGCAAAACAGTAGTAAACATGTTACTTGAAGAATGAAGTGCTTTATAGGACATGCGCCACAGCTAGCCTGTTTATGTGCTTACAAACAGTTACTAGTCGTGCAGCTGAAATAAATCATTCTAATCAAAGAGCAGAAAGGGAACAAGGACGCTGTATACGTTGCTCTACATAGATTTCCACAGGTCCTTGACTGACTTCGTTGCAGAATGAGTGAATGGGATGAGGTGAGCACCAGTATCAGTGCACATGTACATAGATATAATCAGGCTACAGACCTACATACAGTCCATTCAGAAAAATGTGGACTTCTAGCTTTTGGCCATAAATGGGTCAAACTTTGAGTGTTTTTTAGAATTTTTATCTGCAATCCCCTATGCATGGATCATGGAATCCTCTTCCAATTATGTTTCTGAGTTTTTTTGTCCAAAAAGCAAGCCATAACAAGAATAGGATTTCGGCCAGGTTTTGCCCCAAACCGTCAGCACTGAATTCGGAAAAACCATAAAAATCCAGGCCGTTTGACCCCGCCTGCATGCAACAGTACTGCAGTGCATCATGTGTGCGGTTCGAACCCCAGTTCAGGTACCCTTTTTGGACCCTTTTCAAATTTAAAATTTCGCAGCACTGCACTAGCACTGTGTACGATGAAAATCGCGAAAAATCGCCAAATACGGGCGCTCGCCAGAGCCAGGGCCCATCTTTCAAATGAATGGACTGTATAATTACATGTATGTACAACTACATGATGATTGTATTTGTACTGTGTCACTGAACCGCGTACTACTAGCTGGAGACATACTGGGGCAGTGGGGGACTGGCGGTTCAGGAACTACAGGAACTACAATTAAATTGCATTATTTACATACTGGTAATAACACTGTAGTCATTGTTCAGGAACTACAATGTACATTGTGAGATAAAAGGGATAAAAAATGATTTAATTTACTTGGTGCTTGTCGCGAATGCGATCGGATTTATTCGTAGTCACGAGCACAATGCATGTATATAACCAAGAATTCACAGCTACGTATACATGTATCCTTGTTCAGTGCATGATTTGTACGTTCAATCACTCGCATCCCTTTGTGACACCCTTTTTTCACTTTGCATTTCGTTGCATTTCTAAGGTTCAATTCTGGGCACCCTTTTCTCACCTTGCAATTCGTTGCATTTCTAATGTTTCCGTTCCGGGCACCCTTTGATTCAGTTTGAACCCATGCACCTTGGCTTGCACACGCACCGACATCCAACACGGACTGTGTGTACGACTATCGGCATCTTTGATGGCCTTCACTATCCATTTTCATGCTCACAGTTGGACTCGTTGCACCGTGCGTATCTTTATGTGTCACCTTTTCAGCTACATGCACGTGGAGCTGTTTTAGTTCCACAACTTGGTGCTCTTCTTGCTTCTCTTTGATTCTTCGCTACTCCTTGGGAGCTAATTTCGATGCGTTTGTATATTTATCGCTTGTATATTTCTGCTGACGCTGTACGCAAGACACTTTCACGGCACACTACTGCTACAGGCATACACTCCGACTCACCTATATTATCGCTCTCCCCTTGTAAATATTCTTCAGTCTTGATTCACAAGAAAATTGGGCACTAAGGAAAATATGGTCTGCTTCGAGTGGTTTATGTAAAGGGTATGTACATGGTTCGCGACAGTGCTTGAGTCACAGATGTCAGTCAGTGTTGCTGATTTCTCTGGGGCATGATAAAACCGTGATAGCTACATACCGGTAAGTCGTTCTCAGCTCAAACACTCACCCATGGTCTCTCTGCTTCAGAAGTCACATCAGGTTCACCTTATACAACTTGTTTTCATGTGTGATAGTGACGAAAGGTGTAGCAAAAGAAACCGAGATTGGGATACATGCAGGGGCATCGGAAGGTAATTTAGAGTGGTATCGTGACAGTCAGCCGTCTGAGGCACAATCTACTTGTTGAGAGGGCCGGCCCGTCACTGATGAACATTAATTTTTTTCTATTTATTTTCAAATAGAGCTCAAATCAGGCTGTGCATTTTATTGATTCACGGGGTAACTGGGGCAAAGAGTAGTACGATCAATGCCATAGTGACCGTAGCGTGTCCAATGCAATGCCCCTCGCATGACATGTATTGTACTACAGTGGTCCCTCTATAATCCGGCACCATTTGTGCCACGAAAATCTGCTGGATTAGGGAGGGTGCTGGATTAACAAATCTGATTTACTGCTGCAATGTACATGAAGAGGACATTTTGGCTACTGAAAATTGTGCTGGTTTATCGAGGGTGCTGGATTATAAAGTGCCGGATAAGAGAGGGACGATTGTACAGTGCTGCTCAATGAAATCCGATCATAGTCGAGAGTAGCCCTTTCCCAAAGGTGCTCCGTTTTAATTCGCACTTAGTGCTTTCGCGTCCCTGAAAATATGCTGGAAAAGTGCTCTTTTTTCAGTGAAAACAGGCAAAAAGTGCTCTTTTTTCAGTGAAGCATAGCCATGATACATGTTCAGATACAAAAAGAATAGATAGGTAGAATTGGAGTATGCTGGTGTTTGGGCGACAACTTCGAGGACCACACCCAACTTTCCGTGTGTACATGTTCAGATATGAACTCAAGCTGAGAAACGAATACGCACTCTTCCATTTCTGGGTCCACGAAAGGCAAAACAGGAAATAAAGTTCAAAAAAACCACTTTTTACAGCATTGTGTACCGGGTACAAGCTTCACCAACTTGTTGCCCCCCCCCCCCCCAAAAAAAATCGCCGTGCCATGGCCCATCGAGCACTCGGAAACTGTGATCGCATGCAAGAGCAAACAGACAGATTTTAGCACTTTTTCAGCTAAAAAAGCTCAAAAAGGGCGATATTCACCAAAAAACGCAATAAAGGGCAAAATAAACGGGCTTTTTCAAAAAGGGCCAAAAAGGGCGAAAAAAAGGCGAGCACCTTTGGGAAAGGGCTAGTCGAGAGAGAGTCAATGCCACGCCGGGCGCTGTGCATCCCAAGATCTGCGAACGCTGGGATGTGAACTGGTGCAGGGCACAAACTACATGACATTGTGTATGTTACTTGACTCATGCAATCGGATTACATTGAGCAGCACATGTATACGGTGACAATATGCCAATGCGGAAAAATCCACGTATTTCCTGGAGTATAACTATAAGCCGCACTTTAAACACTCTTAACTCAGTGCGACGTATCCTACGGTGGTCGAATGAATGGTGACATACCGTACTTTCTCTATTACAAGCGCAGGCTCTTGTAGAAGCCCAGTCTCGCACTCCAATAGGGCTTCGAAGGTATAAGCGCAGGGGCTATAGTGGAGAGCTGTATGGATCATGTCCATGCATGTTTGACGTCACATATCACATAAACACATGCTGACTGCTGTGGTAAAAGTCTGTGATCCCCGAGATCTAAAGTTCAGACTCACTCAGTGTACCAGGAAGCACAAACCTGCAGTCCCGGTACCTGCTGGGAAACGTTGTGCTCCTGATACAATGAAAAAGCAATGTGCATGTACCAGGTGGTTGAAAAATTATAAGCCCAGTCTCTTGTAGAAGGCCAGTCTGGTTGAAAAAATACAAGCGCTGGGCTTATAATGGAGATAATACTGTATACTATAGGGTAGATGTCAGTATTCCGTGACAAAAAATCTGGGTGCGGCTTATTCTCTGGAAAATACGGTCTATAAACCAGATCTAATCTAATCCTGCTGTCCTAGGATACGTCGTCCAAACTCGAGGAGACTTCCGGTTTCTGAAGACGGCATCAAGCCACCTCTTCAGAAAAGCAAATTTTCTGGACAACGCGATGACAATTCCAACGCTCCCTCCCCTTTGGCCACATATGCATTTTGAATGCAAATGGCCGATCTAGGAGTCTGTTCAATTGCATGCCGTAGCCCTACATTGCAGCACTTTTGGACTGAGGCTGTTGGACTTGGCAGCCGGTGTCCTGTGATTACGGTGCATCGTTCATTACCCGACGCAGAATGACAGAGCGACTGTGCATACATGCAGCAAGTATACTGCTAGTGCTTCGCCAATGCTATACAACGTAAAAAATGACATCAGAATAGTATTCCAGTGTTTCAAGTATCCTAATGTGTAGATAGAGGGCTCTGACAATCAACAGTGAGGTGACTAAAACGCAAAACAACACTCGTAGGAAAGGAGGCTACAGATGAAGGGAAAAATAACTTAGCCACGGATCAAAGCTACCCGGTGGTTGACTGAATAACCGCAATTCCCCTGCTGATTTCAAGGAGCGGAGAGGGGCAAGGGAGAGGTGGAAGTAACAGCAAGTGCGAGACGGATGAGCGAATTTTGTAGAGTAGGACGTCTCACGACAGCAGGCTGAATCAATCACCAGCTGCTTACTCTGGGTTGATATTTGCAGCACCAGACTATACGTTCTGGCTGATTATAAAATAGGGTGCATATGGGTGGGTGTTGGGCATGTGCCGGAATAGGTCTAAGGGTTTCTTCGTTTTGTTTTCTCAGCGTCGGTCAGTGATTCGTGAATTATTGATAATCTCAAGTGTCCTAAGCATGTCATGGTTAATGAATGCTGGATTCCTCCTATAGCTGGAGCATAGTCTGAATTCTTCGTGTTACATTTCATCACCGATTGACTCACACGGCATGTACTAATTCTCCAATTCATTGAAGCACCTTGTATTTAATGTCTGTGGGAGGTAATTCACTGTGCCACGGAATTTCCTGTTTTCTACTGGCTGTTGTCTCGGCACACGATCTGCCGCAGGCCTCTGGCGTAGCGGTACATGCCTTTCCAGAACTTCCAGGGCTTCTTGATGTACGGCTCAATCATGCCAGTGCCGCCCTCCACGTCCACCTTAAGGTGACCGGCAAAGGGTGTATCAGCACTGTCGGCAACCCACTCGCCCGCCACCAGCATGTTCTTGGCGGCACTTGCACACGTGCACGCCGACTTCAGACGGATCTTGATCAGTTTCTCGGCCATGTTTCTCCCGTTGATCTTGGTCGTTTTCAGATAGCGGTCGACTTGCACCGTGTACTCCGTGATGCCTTCTCCGATATGTACTGCGGAAGAGAAGTCAACTTTTCCATTTGCAACTGAAGGTGAACAGACAGGGAATAGAGAAAAAGAATGTGAATTCTCAGCATCAAGGAGCTCTACCAAGAACGCTCAGCAGCGAAGATGATTAGATCGATCAATTGTCTATGCAGATCTCAGTGTACATTAGTCTCATTGGGTGGGGTGATTTTTTCTTCACCACGGTCCATTTAGTCTGACTCTGATCCCGTTTCAAGATTTATGTTCTGTGACAGAAATCCGACAATCGCATTGCCACATGAATTCGCTGTAGAGTACTCTACAAGCATGTCACATGTGTCAGTTTGCCGGACAGAGCCCATTCAGTGCATGTCGTGTGCATGTAGTATAGTGTGGCAAGCAAACTGCAGGTATGAATGTGCCGCTGTGCATTGTGTGCATACTCTGGGTACTGTGAAGAGAGAAATTTTCGCTAGAGATTAAATTTCGCTATTTTCGCGACCATCACACATTCGTGAATATAAATCGTCACACACTGCATGCTCTGTACTGTACATTGACTGTAGACAGTACAAGATCCAAATGAAGAGATAAATCGCAAAAGCTTCCCGTCGTGCCATGCATGCACTTACTCATCTGAACACTACACGCTCTTGGGAAGGAGACCAGGAGGGGCAGCTGTTCGTCGCACGTCATGCAAGTCGGAGTGGGCGGTGGTGACGGTGAAGTTGGACCGTTCGTTGTTGCTGCATCTGCTGACGACAATGAAGAGAAGAGAGCAGTGTCATCGCGAGCCAGATTCAAAGAGCAAAAAGACATGGCCTCTGCCCTACCCTTTGCCAGTTTGCTGGTGTGTAAGAATTTCATAGTACAAGTACAACAAAATTGACTGTTATAAAATAGTCCATGTGGGAAATGCATCACTGTTCTACTACCAAGCCTCGGGGGATGTGTCTGCATCGAGTACTAGAATGAACCTTATTGTTCAAAATACTGTGGATCATATCAGTACAGCTGAAGTGCTGCTCCCACATTATAAGCCTCCTCACCTGTAGCCACGACAGTTGCAGTGGTTTCCATCAGCAGCGGCGATGGAGTAGTCTGCGCCGTAGTGCACCGTTCCATCGGCACCACGGCTATGTCCTCGTCCAGCTGGCATGCTATCTTCTCCATGATGCACTCGTTCTGGTAGATGTGCAGTCCGCCGTTCTCTCCGCACACCACCTGGCGCGCGACGGGACAGTCGCGCGTGCAGTTGCATCTCGCCAGTCCCGTGGCAGGGCTCACTATGCAGCGACCGTGAAAGCGGCAATTCAGTGCTCGGCAGGCCTCTGCAGGTAGATAAAGCCCAGGACATGTATCAATACTCTATTGTGCTGCTCTGTTCACTGGTAGCCATGAACACAGGAAATGCTTTCTTGCAGGCCAAGAATAGATCAGTGCCATTTACATGTTTAGCCCAGAGCAAACTCAGGGTCAATCCCCATGCTCATTTCTCCAAATTTCCTCAGTACTGTCAAGCATACCTGGCATGTCCACCGTTGGCTGGCAAGCTGACATCTGCACTTCGGTGATCTCCTGCTGCAGCTGGCAGGAGAGCTTCTGCATGATGCAGCGGTTGTGGTACACGTCTCCGTTGGAGCCGCACACCGGCTGGCTGGCGCGAGGGCAGTGCTGCGGACACTCGCACTGGGCTGCACCTGACGCCGATGAGCACACGCTGCTGTACGGGCACTGAACACCGCTGCACGGATCTGTACAGGAAATACCACACACACACACACACACACACACACACACACACACACACACACACACACACACACACACACACACACACACACACACACACACACACACACACACATACACACACATACATGCGCAAGCAGTGTCAGTTCATGTACTGCTAGTCTTCGGCACCCTGCAACACATTATTATGAAAGAAAAAGGCTTGCTCCGGTTGATGTGACTATTTAACCCGACAAATTGTTTTTTTGGGTGTATGTGGAAAACTTAACCCATGAGCCACGGTTCCCTAGTCCAAGGAAGTGTTGGTGATTAGACCTTGAACGAAGTAACACGTTGAAATAAAAAAAGAATATGAAAGAAGCTCGGAGTCGCAACACAGCTTCCCCCCTCTTTCTCTCTCTCTCTCTCTCTCTCTCTCTCTCTCTCTCTCTCTCTCTCTCTCTCTCTCTCTCTCTCTGTCTCTGTCTCTCTCTCTCTCTCTCTCTCTCTCTCTCTCTCTCGCTCTCTCTTCTGTGTGAAATGGGGACTGCACTTACCACTGGCGCAGCTCCCGTGCTTCACGACGGTGATGTTGCGGTTCTGGACACATGCCATGGCGCGCAGCGTGCATTCGTTCAGGTAGGTCTCTCCGTCGGAGCCACATACGTTCGCCGCGCCGTGGGAGCATGACGTCTTGCAGGTACACGTTGCCTGGCCCGCACCATCAACTATGCATTTCTTGTCAGCGGAACACGTGACCAATGTGCAAGGATCTGGGAGAGAGTACGAAAGGGAAAAAAATCAACAGAGAAAGAAATACGTGTGAACGACTTACTACTCGGGTGATTATTGAAACGATATGACAAGAACCTGAAAGTGGCAGTGCCCTTTATACGTATGCTAAAGAGACTTGGGGTTCAAACCTAGGAACCTGTATCCGTACAAGCTCTACAAATAAATACTCTTTTACTGCGAAAAATATACTTTCTATCAAAATGCAACTCCTTCATTATCGTATAAATATACTACTCACTAGTTGCTGGCCTAGTCGTTGCTGCGTCTACAATCAGCGTTGTAGTGATCGTGGGAGGCGATGGGGCCTGCGTGGGGCAGGCACCGTCACTGGCTACGTCGATGTGAGAATGCCTCCTGCAGCGCTCCTGCTTCATGATGCAGCGATTGCGATACGTCTTGCCTGCGATCAAGAGCATGGAGACAAACAAGAAAACTGATGACTCCCTGTACAATGTATGCACAAGACCACTACAACAGACATCTAGCTAGCAGCATCCATTGTAGAGCCTGTCACTTGATGCTATCCGCACATGCATGACATGCATGCTGACTCAGCCTAATACAGGGCACTATGTCCTAGTCAAATCAAGAATTTTTTTAATTGATGATTGTATAATGCTCGTTTCTAGGGAGGTAAGTATTGAGAATATTACTATTATTGGTATAATTTCAATGTTGTTGCCTGGTGATTGCATTGAGCATGAAACTCAGTGTAGCAACAAGCTAGCCTTGCTCCACAGTTGTACTGTGCAGTTTCAATGGCAATCATGTGACAACCGTAAAGTTCAGTGTACTATGTTAGTTTGCATAGTCACTGCTGGCTGGTGAGCAACTTGTGACTCACAGCGCTAATCAACGAACAAAATAAGTTTCCAGTTTAGACTGAGCTATATTTGCCACACTAACCGTCAGTTCCACAGGTCAGGTCCTCGTAGTTTGGACAGTTCCTGGGACAGGTGCACACGCCTTGGTTGCCTTGCACCTCACACACCCCGCCGTATAGACACTGGACACCCCGGCACAGCTCTGTTGTACACAAAGTCAGCAAGAATGCATACAACAACAATATGAGATTTAGTCGTGCGACGAAGAAGGTTTGGCATGATAGTACACGATGTGTATACATCAAGATCATGAACCTAACACTAGCATAGATCTCGAGTTAGGTACCATGACAGCGTAAATATGGTACAGTGAAAGTTCAGTACAGCGCAACCGCTCTAAGGGACGTGAACATCTGTACAGCACACTTTAAAGTCAATGTACTCCTTATCGGAGGGCAAAGAACTGGATAAGGATTTGCCGGGTCTTGAAAAAGGTACTTTCTACGTGACAAAGGGGAAAGTACCTACATGTATATTGTATGTACCTGTGAATTTATTTTATTTTTTATTTATTCCACATGGCGCATCCCATAGCATGCAATTGCCAATCAAAGGGGAGGGGGTGAAAGCCAACCACGGCTGAGGAACGAATATGTTGTATCCAGGGTAATTTATACTGAAGTGTTTATACATTATTGTACCTCTGCGGTGCAAGGCAAAACGGTAGAATACATGCGAGGGAACATTCCATGGAAAACATTGATGATCAATTAAGTTACTTACGCGGCATCTCATGGATCGGGTCCTTGCAGTAGCCGTTGTAAGCCAGTGATGTGTCGCGTCTGTTTGTGCACGCGTCCTGGTAGAGGTGGCATGCACTCGCGTAGTTGTTCGCGTCTGTTCCGCACACGGGCGACGGGTTGACGTTGTGGCAGCGCGGGCACACACATCGCTGCTCTGCCCGATCACAGTATGTGTACTGGGAACATTGAGAACAATCTGAGACGAAGAGAGAGAGAGAGGGGAAACAATGACAGCAAGCACACAACGCACAGGACCATGGAGTTAAAGTCTAGGCAGCAGTATTTTACAAATGTTTTAACAAATGGTGACTTTTGCTTACTGTATACTAAGTCTGCGTAATTGAATAAAACACCAGCCAACACATCGGATAGCGCAATATTCAAAGCCTACCCAAGGTCCATGTTAGAACTCAAAGCCTTTTAATAATTTAAATTATATGAAAGCAACAGCCCAACACGTGTACATGTGCTTCCCAAATTCACTTCTAACAGCCATGGAGGGTGACGATGTGTTTGTTTGTTTCTATTATTTGAGTGTGTGTGTGCGGGGGGGGGGGGAGGGGGTGCATGTGTGTGTAAGTGTGTGTGTGCGGTGTGTGTGTGTGGTGGGGGGGGGGGGGGGGCTGACCGTATGTGGTGGTGGGGGAGGGGGAGAGTGTTGCTAAACAGAGTGCATGGCCACTGACGACACAATATCTTGTATACACATGCTCACCAAATCCAGCAGCGCCGCCTCCTGAGCTCTCCTCTGTCGGCTGTGCATCATCGCCGCTTGGGTTGGGGTGCAAGGAGCATAGACCATCGTGGAGAACTGTGACGTTCGTCTGTTCCTCACAGGCGCGTTTGTGCAGGTGGCAGGGGCTGGTGTAGGAGCGGTGATTGGTGCCGCACACATAGTTGATTCTGGAGCTGCACTGGTGGTTGCAGATGCATTTTGGTCGACTCACGTCGGCAGGGTCCGGGATGCACACTTGGCTCCGTGGGCATTGTGCAGTGGAGCAAGGATCTGTTGGGAGACAAACCATCCAAGAACACCTTTCATTGACGGCAATGTGGTAATGTGAGCTCTCCTTGATTTCACCCGAAAATCTCAAACAAAATAGTATTATTATCAACAGGAAAATGGATCATGTTGATTGTATAATTATTATGATAATTGTACAATGTACATGTACTTGCATTATTGTCCTTACCCGGTTGACAACCACCTTTCGAAACTGCCCGCAGCTTCCTTTGCAGTCTGCAGCCGGCTTTTCGCATCTCGCACTTGTTGGAGTATGTCTCGCCATTGGATGCACACACCTGCCGGTTAGTGTTCTTGGAATCGGCACACTGTGTCTCACAACCACACCTAGGCTGACCGCCACCGCCATTGTCCGCTACGCATTGCTGAAATGGTCGACATGGCTCACGGCAAAGCTCTGCACAAGACACGCGCGATTGAGAAAGTAGCACAGTCACTAGGGTCATAAATGGCATGCTGATTTCACAACCACAGAGTTTGAGAGTGAGAGATAATTTCGACAAACAGCGCTAATGTAATTACTTAGTAATAATGGACTTTCAAGCTGAACGGAGTCTATTTATACGGTTCATTTGAGCGATGATGCGCACATTTACTTCCAAGTAATGTGTGCTCAATTAAAATCCCGACAGGCGACAAACCCGTAGACTCTATAGATCTACTCGTCATAAACTAAAGCGATCTTCGACGCTCCGAGCCAGTAACGACGTATTGCTTGACGCGGTGATGTAGACTATGGTGAAGTGTGCCACCAAAAGCCTGTACATGTACATGTACGTTCTTTCTGACAAAAATGATCGTTCTGAACATGTCAACAATCAAACTAGTCCAAAGTTCATTCCAGAAGATACAGAACTGTCAGAAGGGAAAGGAAGGGACATCACGTCATGGACGGGATTTCACGGTTCATCACCACTCGCAAGAAGCTCACCACATTCCGATCCGATGAAACTCAAGAAGGACCTCGTCGCCTCGGAACTGTGGCGTCTCGACCGCACCTCCAACAAGCATTCTTCGGGCCGTTTGAGTGCGAGGAAAACCGCGAACGTAGCTGAAAACATACATTGGGGTCATACATTCCCTGCGAACAGTGTACAGTACGCGGACACGCGGTACAGGTTCAGAATGATTATCGTGTAACTGTACCTGTCCTTTTACAAGCGCCTAGCATACACTGACTGCAGCACAGGGTAATACCATTCTTCTTTGAACATCTCGAGACGAGTGTACGAAAAACTACAAGTCATGTACATGACTGTACAAACAACTACAAAGTACAATGATGTCGAGTGTCGTGCCGCGTAGGCAACACTTCTTTTGTTCATGTTTTGGTGCAGCATGCTAGCAATGGTCTCTGGTCAGTGGATCTGGCATTGGCAGTGTGCATGTATCGTGTATGCCTCACAAGAAACCTCGCAAGCATTGTTTGGGGTACAAGAACTTTTACTACACCGGCTAACCCTGGCCTGGGTATACGTAGATCTACGGTTGCGGAAGAGAAAGAGGGGAACAGGAGCAGAGAGTCGGGAAAAATCTGGGTTTGCTGTTTGCTTTGACAGCAACAGTACAGAGCGGTGTCGCAAGAAGGTCTGCAGGTGTGAGACAATCCCGGAATGATGATTTTACTGAGATCACGTCTACACTACAGACAGTATAGACAGTGTTCTGGTGTACTTCAGTAGTACTGTCTGTACTGTACACTCATGATGTGCTGTATTGGTTGTCGTGATGGCTGGTCTGGAAATGCTCCGAGCAACACATACCCTACAGAGGCTGCTGCAACAGTGCAAGTAACATCCTGAAGCAAGGACCTTGTCCTTGGCTCTTGCAGGACTCAGGAAAAGAATTTCCACCTGCAAATTCTTTGACAGGAGCTACTACTGTACAATGATTTATGTATTACTAAGTATTTTGCTGATTCTAGATCTACATGTAACAGGGAACCTCGCTCATTGCAGTCTTTGGGCCACATCTGGTCAGGCAGATAGTCACTACTTGAAGTTGAAGGCTAGGCTTTCGTGGTGGAAGAGTACACCTTCTAGCTGGCACGTTATCACCATTACATGGAATGTAGTGTGGTCGGTGATAGGATCTTCGCCAAGTACCTGGGCCATGGGACATCCTGGTCCTGGATCCATACCAATTACCAGCGCGAAGGACATAAATCATTATGTACATGTACTAGTACATTGTACGTGCAACAAGTGTGTAACTGCAAAGGTAAACGAAGTAGGTGGACACGAGAGTAAGGTACCACTACCAGTACCGGTTGTCGGGGTTGATCTCGTATCATCTACTACTAGCACCCGTCTGACTCAGTACAGCAGCGCTGGGTGTCGATCTGTCCGTACCGCGAGTACAATCATGTATCTTGAAGAGCTAGAGCCTAGTAGAGGCTCAGTGAAGTTCTTGCACTGAAGTAGAAGAAGTGGCTTTTTCTGTACTGGTTGAGTCGGTTCTGTACTTCTCAATCTCTTCACATAACACTAACAGCGGTTGACTCACCACCAGAGGCAGCTCAGGTCAGAAGCGGAGGACTGACTCAGAAATCAGGGATATTTCAACCTTCTATCTGTACATGCTACATGCAAGGTGGTTGTCCGAGCCTTCACTCTACATTGCACGGCAAAGTACACTGTACAATCATAATGGCGTTGGGAGGTTGCTGGGTGACTTGCCTGCCACGTTGATCTACATAATCTGCACTTCTTCCTGTTGCACTTTCGCACCCATCTCTGGCACTTCTCATCGCGCAAGATCACGTACATGTATCCCATCATGACTCATGTGACGACCGACTACAGTCTGCTGGCAATTGTTTCACGGTGTAGCTAGCTAGCTAGGTGTAGATATTGATTTGAAGAGGACAACATTGAGGAGATGGAGGGGGTATAATTATTAACACGGGTTGCAAGTGTCAATCGACCTTCTGGGTGCACGATCCGCAGTTCTCAAATGCTGTGGGACCGTGGAGATTGGACATTAGTGCCCAAGACAATAGGAGCTGGGAGTAAATCATTTGCAACAGCTTAGAGTAACTCAGAGCGCCGGTACAGCACATTCATCAAGTACATGTACAGTAGTTTAGCTGCCGTCACTGGCTTGCAGAGTGCTGGAACTTCCCCACTAATTAATTTCAACAACTTCAATGAAGCCGCTGTAGCAGCCATGATGGGCTAATAAAATATTTGCCTAGTTACTAGTTAGTAGTACAGTATGTATTGGATCCCGTCCAGGGCACAGGGCACAGGCATTCACAGCTGGACACTGCAATCCGGAGCTGAGCCAGAACGACAAGAAGAGAACAAAGCCTTCTTTCGCACAGCGGGAAACCTGCCAGAAGCTCGTCATAGACGTGGAAATGCAGTTTTTCACCGGTAACCGGCAATACTAGTACGGATGACTCAGAAACTGCTCCACGTGGTCCGTCGTGGGTGCTGAAAACCCGGTAGTCCTATCGGTACTCTGACCGATATAATTTGGTGGAGAAGCTATTTCGGACACGGTTCCTTACATCGCGGAGTGACTACACTGGCCGGCTACGCGTAGCTGCCTCGCCTCTGCTGCAACCAGCACATAATGACGACAATATTGTACAATCATGCACACCGGCCAAGCACCTGTGCATGCCAACGCGCTAGCGCCTCTGTCTAGTCATGAGACGCGAGTTATTATCTTTGTGGTCTTGTATCACGCACTGCATACAGGTAATGATAACCATCTTCCGGCATTCGCCCCAGACCTGTACGTAACATCGTTGCTGGTTAGAATCGTGAACCGCACAGTTTCATCAGGTTACATTCCAACTGCATTTTTGTTTTTTGTTCACCGCACGACCTTCCGTCTTCTGACGAAGCGCTTGCTCCCGATAAGAATCCACATATCAGAGTGACGAGTCAGCCACCTCTGACCGCCTTTGATTTCGGCGTGTCCGTGTCTTCGACTAGCTTCTTCGATCTCAAACGGGAACACTAGTATGAGTCAGTCATGACCCAGTGTGCGCGTTGGACGTTCTTCGGATTCCTTCAGCGATCTGGTTTCTGTTGTGGGTGCCAGACGGCCAGCACTAAAACTCGAGACATACAGGTACGACTGGTATGTAGCCTACTACTAGTACTAGTAGTAGTACATCACGGCGACTTCGGTGTTGTGGCCTAGAGAGACACGGCTCTACTCTAGCTGCTGCATTCACAAACATTTACAGCAACAATCAGGGTTGCATTCTTCTACCTCCACAAATACCCATTCCTTTGTACTATGAAGTAACTATTATACGAAGCGTATAAAGCCTATGACGAATCACTAATGCACCACTCTACAACAGAGAAATCTGAGTGGATGATCATCGGCTATTTGTGAATGCCAACTAACTCCAAGACGACCTGTATCAAACTTCAGTCACTTCACACTTTTCAAGTCTCGTTCAATAAGTCTTCGGCCCAGTTGTACAGAATCAAAGTCTCCACACTTCACACCTACCAGTATTATTATAGCGCTCCCAGCGCAACACAACACGCATAACGAGCTGCTTTCGTTTTCGTCTTTGAGCTGTATACTATTCTACCCATCACCGACTCGCCACCACACCGGAAAACAATTTCACAGTTTAAAAAAAAAATAGGCAGCTGAAGCTCCAAACCTGGCACATACATGACTGATTCAGTGATTATAACTAGTAGTTCTTCTTGGACGCCAGTGCTCACTCCATGGCTAGGACTCGAAACAGAATCTGTTCGCTCGGCTTTTCACCCGGTCCGTATTTCGGAAAGCAACCACTCGGAAAGGAGGCTCCGAGAGCGCGGCACTGAATTATCGCCCGTATGCGCCGGGTCTTCTCTTTATACAAGCTGAACTGGTGACGGTGTAGCGGCATGCAGCACTCACACGCATACTCTACCCGCCGAGGAAGATGCTGGATAGGAGCTGGTCAAGGTAGAATGCCACCCGTTTCAACTTGAAGCTCTCATTGCGTATTGGGGCAGGGCAAGTGTGTGTGTGAGTGTCGGTGATCTGGGACGAAATACTGACACAACTCTTCACAAAAACTGGGGAGAAGACTAAGAATAAAGGTGTCCTACAAGCATCACGCCAGCCTTGACACCTTTCTTGCGGCTACACAGCCTTAACTTACACCGATCCGGAGAAACCTATTCTAGTTTCAGTGTTTATTATCCCAGGCGAATGGAAGTTTTGACCTTGCCTGAGCACAAGACCAGAGGGTATGGCCGTTCATCAAACGGCATGTCACTTTGGACTAACATGCTCAATATCCACGGCCAATCCTAAGGGGGCTAGACCTGTAGCTGTGGTCCTTCGGGTGCCACCAGTCGACATTGAGTGATTAGCCTGACCAGCGGCGGTTGAAGATCTTTAGAGAACCGGCAATCGTCATTATGTGCTTGTAACATACATGGGCCATGTGTTGTACTGGTTCTCTTCTATAATGTACAATGTACATACTAGCATCACTAATCTGTAGCATCGCCATTGCATATACATGTAAGTAAATATTCTTCGGACTTACCATGTTTAATTCGAACTAATCCTTGCAGGACGGGAGTTGCGAATCCACGGGGAAAGGAGAGGATCACCACCAGCACCACAACACCAGCACAGCAAAGCTTCTCCATCTTTCTGCTTTCAGAGCACAATCGTTCTGAGTCAATGACCACCTAATTCAGGTCAATAATAATGATGATGATAGGATTCAGTTATGCGGGCCTCCGCACTACAGTCTGCTAGTACACTGCCTGTCTGTAATGCCTCCGCTCTAGGGCCTTGTAAGCTATGCAAGAATGTGGTCAGTATATCCTATGCAGAACGGCCATGGTAGACGCTAGTACGCTGTGTAGCCTCGATGACCTAACGTTACTTTGTGCTGGCCAATTAGAATAATATGCAGATACGCGAAATGACCATTGAGGACAAGAGACGTGATAAGTGCTCACAGTGACAAGGCTGAAGTGCGGAGTTCACCAGCTTGGCAATATCCTCTCTCTGCATTCTGTCCAGGGCCTGTTTACTGGTAATATTCATATCAGAGCACTGCCCGGAGTGCCCGCAGGTGCTAGCCAAGACTGCAATAGTCGGTCATTACGGACGGCTGAAC